AGTCTATTGTTAAAAGACGAAAAGGCGTATTGCGAAAGACAAAAAGCCTCATGACAAAAGACTACTGTTTGCTATTTGTATTTTTTTTTCTTTAATTCTGATTAGTAGACTACGGATGTTTATGTATGTAAAAATCCAGCGAAATAAAAAATAAAAAATAAAATATTATTATCAACATAATAAAACATGTTTAGTATGGGAAACAAGTTTCTATTTCATTTACGTATATAAAATTTCAACACAGTCTACAAATTACTTTACATGTTCGATTATTAATATTCCTATAATAAATACTATCACTTTCGTTTATTTCTCGAAAAACACAGTCGTTAATATTCACGCCCTATTAGAAAATATCCCTAAAAGCATTAACACAGGCGTAATCTATAGTAGAAAAATCTTTCTCTAAAGTCTTTTGGCATCGTGTTGATTTCATAAAAATCACGAATAAAACGTGACCTTCACCAAAGATCATTTTAATAGGAATATTTCTCTTTAAAGGAATGAATAATTTAACAAATAATATTCCTAACAAAAAGCTTCCTGGACAATTATGTAACCCATTACTATGAACCTTCATCTTTCTTTTTCAACCGATTTTCAAATGATTATTGAACAACTACTGCCACTTGGTACCATACAAAAAATGATTTGTAAGCTGATACATTTACGTACCGGTTGGCATTGATGGTTTAACCGTTTCAGACCCGGTGGTCACATTTGTGTACACGAAGTTTCTTACAAATTCACACCAAGCCTTAGGTACAGTGTGTTACAGGTTCATATTTTTCTTATAAATGTGAATTTTTTAAAGTTCCGAATGTTTTTAGTAGGTTCAGTGATTTCAGAATGGAATAACAAACCTGAAAGATAAAATAATTGAACCTGAAAGCAGTACAATTTGCCACCTGTCTTCTTCGGTATCGAGTGTTAATACATTATTATTATTAAGTGTTATAAAGTGCTGTGTATGTTTCTGTCCTCATTTCTGCTCTCTTAGGTGTCATACTTGTGTCCTAATGTACACATCTGTGTACATTTAATATCTACAAAACTATGGGACATATAAATATTGATTTTGAACAAAATATCATCTAAACCGTAATTAAAATTAATTTCTTTACTCTTCAAAGAAAATTCAGATTTTAAAGGGTTTAAGGGGGGGTAGAGCCCTTGAAATTGGATATTCAGCGCATTTCATGACCCGTAGACGAAGCATCGATCCGCGAAAATCAACTGCGACAAATATCAAAAGCAACCTATGGCGAGTCGTCCATGACATGTGCCCATTCTATGTAGGTTATGTAGAATGTGGACCGATCGATACCTAGAATGTCCATGTACGGGCCGATCAATTCTTCCTGAAGACGGTACACCACGTTCTCCCCACCGTGAATAAACACCGGCTGCGATGTGTTTCTGCAAATGGTCCCAAGGATCATCTCTTCGCGCTCATTACTATTATCGATCTCTACAAAATTCTCAATAGTGTTTTTTCACTCTCACGAAAATAATAAAACTATCAATTTTTAACGTGACATTATGTTGGGTAGCAGTTGTCCAAAGTGCAGTAGGACATTTATCCAAGGATAACAAGACATTTCGAACAGTTTGCTTATTGATCTTCGTATCACTGGTTATCAGTTCAAATAATAAGAGCTGACATTCCGAGCATAGAAAATGTACTTTAACATCACTATGTTGACAAGGTATACTGCGAGAGTAATAATGTTTACTTGAGAATGATAATTCATTTTTTGTTTCTGTAGTTTCATAACACAAAGCGTAAGTCTTAGTCAGTGTATTCGACGATTTCATAAGTAGACTGCGGTTTTTTTGCATTTATAGACTGTAGGGCTTTGTGAAATAGAGGGTGTCGTAAAATAAGTGTTGCCATTTTGTTTGACAGCCATTTTTATATCGTGAATGTCAATAAGTTCTGTGCCATAAAATTATGAATGTCAATAAATTCTGCGAATCGTTGGACTTCTTTAGTTCCCAAGCTTCTGGGCTTGTTCTGTGCCTGTAATGGCATACAATACACAACAGATTGTTATCTACAATTGACTAATTCAAACTGGGTTGTATACTAAAGGGTTACATACCCGTATATGAATAAATAAATAAATTCTTTTCTGTTGAAGTTACGTCATATTTGACAGTAGTTCAATATGGATCATACAGTTCTCCAATATGGTACTCTGTGCAGCAAGAGGCAAAACTTTCTGCAGATGCAACGATTTTGATTTTCTATCTTATTCTGAACTCAATAAGATAATTAAAAAAAAACACCTGTACTTCCTCCCCTTTTTTTTAGTATTTTATAAAACATCATTTTGTATAAAAATCCTCGGTCTATTCATAGCTATATGATCCTTTCTGTGACAGTGTCAATCTCAGGTATTCAATTTTCTCAGTTTTCTTTTGGACTACTTCAGCTCGATATAGTAATCATTCGCCGCAACGACACAAACTTATAAATAAATGGCACGCCTCGAAGCACGGATTCGGATATAAGAGTCACGCAACAATGTGTTCAGTAAGGCAAGGTGCTCAGAAAACATTCATTTGGCTAAGCGAAATCCTAATGTATAAGGTGTAATTGAAAAGTAATAACCTTCGATTTTAACTTGATATTCTGGTTACACTTTACCTCGTCCACGTGGAATTCCACATTTTTCCCAGTAAAATGGCAACATGATATAGAAAATTAGGGAAACCATCCTGACTAACAAAGTCTCTGACAATTGTTATTAACCAATTATTATTAACTCTCGAATGGTAACGTGGGTTTTGAAAGTCGTTCTTGCTAAAGTGGGGTCGGATTCGAACCGGACCTTACCATTACGGGGTTAATAATACTTTCTTATTAAACAATTAAATATTAATAGAGAGATCATAATCGTGTGTTATTAAATAATTAAGTATAATAGAGAAACGACCGTTACTTTTGGACACACCTACAGTGGGTAATCAAAGTATTTGAACACTTCGAAATTACCACTCATTTAAATTTTGATCAAGAATGAAATTGAAAATACACTTATACTAATACCTTCTTTATTACGAAATATATTGTTATGTTTTTAGTGACATATGGCAACGATTTTTCATCTTCTATAATTTTTCAAAATATATATATATACATCAATCTTTTGTCACGTCACCTTTCGCATTTGTAATTGTTTGAATTCGTCTTGTTGTTGCAGTACTTTCTTGGCACAATATAATTTAACAGTGTCAGAATAAATAACAATCAACGAAAGCAGATAAATCGGTAGTAACAAGCCATACTCACGAATTATCAACGATAGTAAAAATTGGAAGCTTGTTCCAAGTGTGCATCTTGCTGTACATTGATTAGACAAAATAATCGAACGTACCAAAATGTAGTTAATTTGTGTATCTATATGTTAAGAAAAAAAAAGAAATGATATACTTGAAGTCATAATAACAACGAAAACATAAAATATGTCATTTCTTCATCTGTTCATAATACTTTGATCATCCACTGTAATGCTTATGGATCAAAAATTAGACGCTTCAAGTCTCGATTGACATCGTGGCAAAGTTACACAAAATCGATGTCCGTCAATGAAAGAAAGCTGTAGAGGAACTAACACATGGTGACCTTGTCCTATAAGAAGAAAGCGTTATACGAAGCGAACTGGCGTCACTTTCAACGCAGCTTCTGTAGTGTAAAATCGTTTTTCGTTTAACGGATTACTCGCCACGTGGGGAGAGCGTGGAAGTTGGTTGGCTATTAAATGGATACTTATTTCCCGTGACGAGAATTTATTACCGCGGCCGTTTGTGTTCGCTTGCGATCAACTTGAATATTCAGTTTTAACATTCCAAATGTGAATTTTAATTTTCCAACGCAGTTAACTCAATGTCACTTATTCATTAATATTAATATTTGGACCTTATCTTCGAATTTTGAAGCTGTTTCTCGATTTTTTATTATGGGGGATAGTAAATAATATTAGTTATTGTATTATCTAGTAAAAAGGAAGGAGACATTTCCTTATAAACTACACGCTATCTAATATTAATGGACGTTTAACGATTCATGGATATTGACTCCCTAATGAAAAGGTAGCCAAATGTCGAGATTAATTGAGCAGTATACGCATAACGTGTCCCATCAGAGTATCCGGTATAATAGCAAAAACTCGACTCTAGAGAATTTAGAATTATTGGAATAAAGCATGTTTAAGTTCTTACTCGACGAAATCAAATATATTGCTTACCATAACAATTTATTTATTAATATCTTTTTCGATGACAAGGTAACAGATTCGCTCGAAAGAGATTGCAAACGGTTATTCATCAAAAGCGATTACCATTAATGTACGACTGATCAAAATTTTCATCGTTATGCCATTTCAATCTACAGTACTCAATAAACAACCAGTAATAAATCGTTAGAAAATAATTCTACTTGAATTGAATATTGTAGCAATAAGCAAGAAGATACTTAATATTCGTTAGAAAAAATCGAATGATCGTTAATAGTAAACTAGACACTCAATACTATCATGAATCAGTGATTTCCTGGTCTAACAATAAGACCACATTTAATCGTTCTGAATTTGTTAAAGAAAAATTTGAAACAAGAAAAACTTCTGATTCGATTCTACCTGTAATTAAAGGAGTTTGAGTGATCGTATTACACCAAAGAATCTAGGACACACTTTGTTTAACATTTTATCCCTGCTGTTCTCACTTATTCTACACGTTTGTATCCCTTCAATCATTTCAAATTTCGAGGTGATTTGTTCTGAAAAAATGGGAAATACACAAAAATGAGACGTAAAATTTAAGTACGTTGGATACTAAAAATTTACAAACATAATACCTATTGAAACATTATCTTCATTTCCGGTCATGTAAAGCCGAGGAGAACAGCAGGGTGAAACAAGTGGGCATCTAATAACAAGACTATATTAGAATATCTTTCCACTAGTTAAATATCGCCTGTTGTTTCTCTATTGCAGATATCTCGATCGGATGTCATCGTTGGACCTAATGTCTCACATAATGACCACTTCCGTCGTAAAAACGAAGGCGGAACACAGAAAGGATGGAACGTATATCCACGGGAACTCGATCGAGTCGTTCTACGACGACTCGGTGATACTAATTACCGGGGGGACAGGTTTCTTGGGAAAAGCACTTGTGGAAAAGCTGTTGCGCTCTTGTTCCAGCCTAGCGGCGATTTTTCTACTGATTCGCCCGAAGAAGGACCAGACGGTCGATCAAAGACTGAAGCATTTGCTACAGAATCCCGTAATTTAATCTTCCATTATCACGATTAAGAATCAAATAATGTAGAGTATTTCAATGATTAGGCTCTGTTATTTATTATTAATATTCGATTATTAGATTCTGACCCATTCTAGAACACATTCGATCATAATTTAATATTGTTAAATGTCCGGTTGTACAGGTGCAACGACCATTACTTGATAATAGAAATTCGTTCGCAGATCTTTGAGAAACTTCGAACGGAGAATCCAGCTGCGTTCAAAAAACTCCGGCCGGTAAAGGGCGACGTGACTTTACCGGATCTTGGTCTCTCGCCGGAGGACAGGGAAACGTTAACGCAAAAAGTGACCATAGTGTTTCATAGCGCGGCCACTGTGAGATTCGATGAGCCGTTAAAAGTGGCGATAAATATGAACACAAAGGGCACTGATCGTGTTTTAGAACTGTGCAAGAGCATAAAGAACCTAGTCAGCTTGGTCCACGTCAGTACAGCTTACAGTAACGCGAACCGGAACGAAATCAGCGAATCTGTTTATTTGTGAGTGTCCATTTCTCGGGTATCATTCTCTCTTTCCTCGAGTATTTCTTCTTTAGGTTTCACTTTCTTTCCTCTGGTATCTCCGTTTCATCATTTCCCGTTTTCTTTTCATAAATATTTTCATTTCTTCAGATTCCGTCTTCTTTCCAAAAGTATTTCCATTTCTTCGTTTTCCATTTTCTATCCTCAAATATTTCCATTTCTTTAGGTTCCGCTTTCTTTTCTCTGGTATTTCCGCTTTATCGTTTTCCATTTTCTTTCCACAAATAATTCCATTCCTTCGTTTTCCATTTTCCATCACTCATGTACGTCCACTTCTATGATTCCCATTCGCTTTCTTCGAGTATCTCAATATTTTCGGTATCTTTTCTCTTTCCTCAAGTATTTCCGTTTCTTTCGGCTTTTATTTTCATTCCTCAAATATCTCCACGTCTGCGATTTCAGTTTTCTTTCCTCGAGTATTCCCATTTATTTGATTTCGTTACAGCTCAGAGGTGAAACCTTCCACGATGATAGACATGTGCGACAATTTGGACAACGACACGATAAATGTGATCGAGAAGAAAATTTTGGAGAAACATCCGAACACGTACACCTTCACCAAGAGTCTCACGGAGCAACTGATAGTATTGAAAGCTTCTGATCTGCCAGTGGCTATTGTCAGGCCAAGCATAGTCGCCGCGTCGCAGAAGGATCCATACCCTGGATGGGTGGACAATTCTGCCGGACTCACGGGTATTGTTTTCGAAATTTGATAATTTCTATATATTACTATAATCTTCAGACATTACTAGAAAAATTATCACAACACCATTCTCCGACATACATACTATTACCCACCCTTTCTAAAATAAAACACACACATACATATTTACCGAGAAGAGTTAAGAAACAAAGCAATTCATCAGAGACAGGTGGTTACAGTCCACCAATATTAACCTAGACACCTATTTTATCACTTTATTGACAATAGTTGGAACATTTTTTTACGATTGGCAGTATGAAATTTCTTTAAATGACATCCAAACATTAGAAAAACTATGTTACCGTGACTACTAGTGCTGTTATTTATCGTGAGCAAATAAATTGTCTATACAGGGTGTCCCAGAAAATGGGACAATCCGCAACATGCATATTCCCCATGCAAATACAAATCGAAAAGTCCTTTATCGTTTTGTAATCTGAAGCTTTATTTTCGAAATATTACCAGTTAAACGAACTCCAATCAGCTGAGCGATGGACCACTCAAGTAGCAGACGCCATTGATTGGGTCGTGCGCTTCTTGACTGTGTCTGCGCGTACGTGTGAGTTCGTTTAACTACTAATATCTCGGAAATAGAGCTTCATATTACAAAACGATTAAAGACTTTTCGATTTGTAATTGCATGAGAAATATGTATGTTACGGTTTGTCCCATCTTTTTGGGACAGCCTGTATAAAAAAATTTTGTAATATTTTAAATTGCCTTAAAATGACTACTAGTTCTTGATTTTATGAAACCAATTTTTGAACAAAATACCAAAATCATGCACTGAGCGGGTTTATAAAAATTGTGGGACACTTTTCACTGGATGTGTACACAATTACCTAAAGCCACAATATAGTAAAAAGTTCAAAGGCAAACTTTCTATTCGATTCTAGTTTTTGCAAATTAATCCATAAAAATCGATACTCTCCTAACCATTCACAGTAGATCGATTACCAATTCAGGTGGCTAAATAAACATTCGTTTCAATTTTATAGGTTTCATGAAAGAAATCCTCAAAGGTATCTACAGAATAGTTATGTGCGACAAGAAGATGTACCTCGACGTGGTTCCCGTTGACTATGTTATCGACACGTTGATCTGCGTCGCGTGGCACAGCACGATGCAGCGGAGCAGTTCCGTTCCGATTTACAACTGCACCTGTAAGGATCCCCCGAGGTAATGAAGCGTACAACAAGAAACAAATTAATTATGAAAATTCCGTTCCGAAATTAACCCTTTTAACCCCATGGGTCGATTTTGGATAATTCGATTCTTCTGTGAAAAATCTTTCTACGCGCGGGTGAAAATTGAAATTAAATCAATTTCGATCTAGTCTTCCTTTCTATTGGATGTCCCAATAAGTAGTCCGCGATATTTTGTTAAATTCGATACTTAATCAGAAGTCTATGTAATTTCATTGATATTTGTCTTTTTTCTTCGATGTTTATCACTACTGTGAAAGAAGAAAATGGTAGAAATTTTTTTTATATCTAAATAATGTTACAAGTTTACTGAAAAGAAATAGTGGATTACTTATTGGTACTACTTATCGGTAAGATTTATCCCACAAGGATGATAAAAGTAAAGATAACAAGGATAAGTAAATAAAAATTACATAAACATGTGATGGTATTTCAAGAAAATAGGTAGCACCGATTCTTGTTTAACCTATTTACCAACCATAATGTTTTCTTTTCTTAGGTGGGGCCATTTCTGGAACCTTACCCTAAAATACGCCGTTGAAACGCCATCGACGCATCTCGCGTGGTATCCAGGCGTGACGAACGTGAAATACAGATCTGTATATGAATTCTTTAAATTCATTGTCTATTATTGCCCAGCGTTTCTCATGGATTCCGTTCTTAGACTTGTGGGTCAGAAGCCCTGGTAAGTAATTGCGTACATATAATGTTTATGATTACGATGAAATCAGAATGTTTGAGTAGTTTTCGAGCAATTAAGAAATTCTATTTCACGATTTAACAATCCTGCTACGATCCTCAATCCAATCATACATTCGAAATAACATCGAGGAAGGAGGAACACTTAGAATAGTAACAGTCTCGTCATAGGTTTCGCAACCCTACGAATACTTCTGAAGAAACGGGATTAAGATTAAGTGAGAGAAGTGTTGTAAAATCGTAACAACGTTAAACAAACGAAAACATGATTGGGTCGAAGTAGATTCGAAACCCGTAGGGAGTTGATAAAGATTAATATAATTTTTTATTTTTTATGTCTCTACAATATCAATTTCTGTAAATCAACCCGTATAAATTTGTAATTCCCTAAGTGTAAACAGTTTAAATATAAATGGCGTTTCAAATTTAAATAACTATGGATTAAGCAGATTTTAGATCGTACAGGAACCGATCTTTCCTGTTTTATTTATATTCTGTATACTTGTTCGATAAACCAGACACAGAAGCAAACGTGGAACAAGTAAAACTACATAAAATTCTTGTTCCAGGGTTTACAAATACGTCACGCATGTTAATCGTATCGTACAGACTGGGGCGTTCTTCGGTTTGAACCAATGGAAGTTCCACAGAGACAATATGGACGATCTAACGAAGAAACTGAAAGCACTGAAGGATTATGATAACTTCAACGTCGACTTGCGTGATTATGACATGGACATCTTCGTACGTAACTACGTGTCCGGGATTAAGAAGTTCATTATGCAGGAAAAACCTTCGACCGACACTAACATGCAAAGGCGAATGTTAATGTACGTATCCCAACAATTGTGTATCATAAATGATTTCTATTTCCTCTTTTTGAAATTTATTCATCTAATTTATTATTGTCGACGTGGCATACCGTTTATCCACGTTAGAGGATCTAAATGAACAATTGACCTTAAATGGTCTCAGTAAAGTTAACAAATATTTATTTGGTAATTTTTAAAATAACAATCACTTTTATCGGAAAAGTTCTTCGAAACACAATTGAAGAAAAAAAGAAACTAAACGTAATAACAGTACGTTGTAACGTACAATAACAATAGCGTACTGTTAATGCAACATTAATGAATAATTTCTTTCATTTCAGACTCTACTTTCTACATCGTTTCATCCAAGTGTCGGGTATAATCGTGTTAGTGGTACTGATAAAACGCTTCAGTCATTGACCACAACATTCGGTTATTCTTGTTCAGGCCGTGAAAAAGTGTGAATTTGTGAAGAAAAAAAAATTATCAACCGCTTCATCCTAGTATCATTCATATATTATCTCTCATTACTTGCCTGTTATTAGTGTTTGTTAGATACTGTGATGAGCGATATTATAGTGCACATGGCTTATTTATTCGATATTCCGTTCTTACTTTCATATCGTGGAATATACAGCTCAATAAGCTTGAAAAATTGTTGTGGTACTGTTCTCGAACGCACTGGATGAGAAAGACTTCTTTTTCCAAACTATCTTACTCAAAATGTTTAATGTATATTCCTACAACATATCAGACTGTTTTATAATTTACAGTATCTCGTGATAAGATCTAAATGACTACTTTTTACGAACCATCAACCCTTCAATCCCCACTTTTTAAATTTTTATGATAATAACTACGATATCGATTTCAATTGTAGCTAAAATAAATGTTTTTAAAATTATAAAAATAGAAACACTTTGTTTGCTCAGTAGTTTTTTAAAAAAGCTACCGTAAAGCCTAGTTCTTAAGTTATCGCATAAAGAAAGTTTTAAAATAATTAATGAAAACCCTTAGGCGATGAGAACCAATTTTTAAAAGACAGATTGTTATTACCCGAATAATGACATACATAAGTTACTTCCGTTATTTTAAAATAATGAGAAACAATTGTAGGCGCTATTACCAACGGAGAATTTGTATACTTCATGTTTGACAGACCGTATGATAAAGAAGAAAAACTAATGACGTGATGCATAAAAATGTTTACGTACAATACAAAACGATAGTTGGATACTGAAAGAAAAAAGTTAAAAGAACAGTTTTTACGAAAAATATAATTTTTAGTAAATGCATAAGTATATATTCAAACATCTTAATATATCGATGGCAATGTACGATTGTTATACAAACAGGTAGATTACATTCAATGATATATTCCATTACACATTTGTAAATAAAAATGTATTAACAAAAAAAACTTACTTGCATGTTCATTCTGCCTCTTTAAAAGTATTGATGCGGCGTACTCGCGATAAGCTTGTGATTAGCCACTGCTCTTTGATAAATTAATACCGCGGAACTCGTTGGAAAGATGGTGTGATGGTGTGTGGTAATATGTGTTTTTTAAATGATTGACACAACTTAGTAACACAATTAGACTTTAATATAAACTTAGCAATGCGATGTATGTGTATGTGTGTACTGGTGTGTTCTGACTGATCGATGTGTTCTTGTTGACGGTCGAATGTGTTCTTGTTGACGGTTGAATGTGCTGCTAGTGAATGAGTGAATCTATACATAGATGCTTGCTGGAACGGATCGACTCGTGATTGGTGGAAAATGCAGAATTTGGGTTGGTATAAGTGGTTCAAAAGGTGGTAGTATGAGTTGGATGAAGTGAGATTTGGCGTATACATATATTGTCTCTTGGATTCCTGGAAGTCAGCGCCAAAACCGCGAATGTTTTGTACGTGATGTAAGTACAGCTGTCCAGGAATCCCTGTTTATGACGGTTTGGGTCGCAACAAGTATTGAAAATTACGTAAAACTAATTAAAAGAGACGAGGAATCTAAAAATGAATTTCACTGAAGTTCCTTATGCGTATTGACAATTATTCTAGCAAATTAAAAAAATGTGGCTTTTAACATTTTATATTTTTTGTTCCGTTCAATATATTTACATTTATAACTAACAATAAATTCGTTCTAAATATATTATGAAACATTATTTTATTTTTCTAAAAGTAATACTTTGGATAGTAATTTTATTTCCGAATGATTATCGGACAGTATTATATAAAGGAGTGTATTTTTAAAAATTAATTCCTGTTATTCAGTGAAAATACAAGAATGTGTTCATTATATTTTTCTACTTAACGTTCATTTTAAAGTCCATAATTATGAACAATAAAAAAAGATATAAGTAATTACTAATTTATTGCAGTGCTGATTAAGTGATTAATGATTATTATTGTTAATCAATTGCGAAAGTCATGATATAATAATCAAATGCAGCTCAAATCTGTTTTTTCTCTCTTGACCCTAAAGGGTGAAAGTAAGATTAAAGGGGGTGAAATATACGTACGGTGAAATAAGTCCCTTCAGTGCTCAATAATATGTAAAAAAGATTTGAAGTCTGCGCATATTTGAGTAAAAATGAACCACGCGCTGCATTTATTTCTTACAATTAGTCTTTGTACCGGTATAATTGACTTCGATGGTTGAAATCAGCCGGAATCAGCTGCAATCGTAAACAGTAGTATACATATACTTATATGGATTCGTAAAGCGGGTTTTAGCGATGCCAATCGCATGTAGAATCTTCATTAATATAATGAGCACATGGAAATTATTACAGCGTCGATGTTACGATTTACTCTCGTACAAATATTCATTGTTGGTGATATTAATGGCATTTACCTGCATTTTTATCGGCATCATTCACTTCGGAGAGGTTAGGAAACCCATAATATTACATTATTGTTCTGACAGTACTGATTGTTGAAAATTGCTGTTCCGTTTTTTGTCATCGAATTGATTGCATTGTTTCATTCTTCTTTTGTAATTAATGAAATTGCTAAATTTATGTGATAATACAGTCCATGATTTGGAGTATACTATTTCAGATTTGGGTTGCTTGGAGTAAGGAAAAGTACGAAGCGGTATTTCATTCATTTAATGATAATATATTGGGTATCTCTTTTCAAAAGAAACTGTGTCAGCATGTCCCAATAGATGTTGTATATACTTGGGTAAATGGTTCAGACCCCACTTTTTTAAAGAGTCTCAAAGAACATGTTCCTATTTTGGACATTAACACGGCAGCTTCTAGATTTAGTGACAAAGATGAATTGAGATATTCGTTACGTTCACTGGAAATGTATGCACCATGGGTCAGACATGTGTACATTGTCACCAACGGCCAAATACCCAGTTGGTTGGATATGGATAATCCTAGAGTCACCCTAATTACTCATGAGGACATTTTTTTAAACAAAAGTGATCTACCTACATTTTCTAGTCCTGCTATTGAAAGTCATATTCATAGGTAATATCAAAGTTATAGATTTTGTATCAGCTAATTATTACTTGTGTTGAATTTGATATATTACCTTTCACTTCTGCAGAATTCCTGGAATTTCAGATAAGTTTTTATATTTCAATGATGATGTGATGTTAGGAGCAGAAGTATGGCCAGAAGATTTTGTTACACAAGCAGGTGGCCAAAAAGTATATCTTGCGTGGTGGGTTCCTGACTGTTCAGATGTTTGTCCTTGGGCTTGGGTAGGTGATGGATCGTGTGATCCTGCTTGTAATACAACGCTCTGTGAATTTGATGGTAATTGTTGCTGTTTATTTCTTAAGTCTTTAGATTTCATATCACGATTTAATAATTTGAAAATATATTCGAGTTAATATTCGTAATTTATTTATAGGAGGAGACTGTGATAGTACACCAGTTCCTACAGATAGTGAAGCACTTGATGAAGAAGATTATCCACAAAAATTTCTACAGGATACCCAAGATAATACTAATTATGGATTGAAAATTTTAAATATATTGAGAAACAAAAATAATTCTGTGCCGAACAGTACAGAAGCAGTAATTCAACAAACTTTGCCACACGAGACTGTACACTCGAAGCTCAATGTAAATAAGTCTTTTAATTTTAAAACCAATAGGTACACAAGTCATATTGAAAGATTCATTAACCAACGTGGAACTGATAAAATCCTATCCACTCAAAAGGCAATGTTATCGAATATGTTAAATAAAATGAAATTTCCGAATTCGAACCTTACCGAAAGACGTATACAGCTAAAACGTTATTTAAATGACGACATTTTGAATTTACTGCAAATTAATAGTACCGTCAACATAAATAATAAACCCAATTATTCTGATCAGTGGAAACTTAGAACTAGACAACTCGATACATATGCCGAATCTCTGTTATATGTGAATAAGATATACAATATGGCATATGGATTCGAGCGTAGAAGAGTACCTGCTCATATGCCTCATTTAATAGACAAATGGATCGTTGCTGATATGCAGAAAAAATTTGAATATGAATTCAAGAAAACATCTAGTCACAAAGTTAGAAACTCTGAAGATATGCAATTTGCGTTCTCTTATTTTTATTTCTTAACGAGTGAAAAACGTAAAGTGCCAGTTGAAGAGATATTTGATGCATTTGACACAGACAAGTCAGGGTACAGTATTACGTGAAACACCAGTCATAATTTAATGGGCTTTTGTTTCTTATTTCTTATAACTATTACTATAATTTCCAGGACTTGGTCAGATAGAGAAATTAGAACACTTCTGTCCAGATTATATCCACTACCTCTTGATTATAGTCTAGTTGTAGAATTTGAAAATGCAATAACGAATTGTTCAAATGTCATGAAGATCTCAGAAATATCAAATCCACCGCTTGGAGAAAGATATTTGGACTCATCTCTTGTAAATATATCTTATTAACCTCCATAATTTTCAAACTAACGTTGAATGAAATTGTTTACACCTTATGTTTCCTTCACAGCCAGTTGTATCTAAAGAATTAATAGCAAAATGCAAAACAGTTTCAAATAAGATCGAAGTGAAGTTTGGTGAAAGGAAACACTATCCACATGAAGTAATAAAGGCAGGGAAAAATGAGATATTCGAAATGTTGACAAGCAATGTCTCTCTAACTGTGCAGCTCTTGGACGAAATTCGTAGGGATCCAAAGTAAGTTTATATATTAATTATTATTAATTCTAGGTAATTTTAAATAACCAAAGAATTTCAAGTAATTGTTGATTTTAGAAAATTTGTATGTTTAAACGATGATATGGATCCTCTTCGTCGTTCAGAAAATGAAATTGTTCGAGCATTGTTAAATGATTTTTACCGTTCACTTTACCCATTACGCAGTACGTTCGAATTACCTCTGCAATATCGAAATCTTTTCACCCATCGGCACGAACTTTTCGAGTGGAGAGCCAATCGCACAAGAGCTAGGAATCTACTACTATGTCTTATCGTTTTATTGCTCGTTACAACTTTCTATCATTTATTTTATCATCAAGTGCGACGATTGTTTAGAATAAGAGCACTGCCCACCCTTTTGGTGTAAATGACGCAAATACAGGTAAGTCTGCGAATAGGATAATTGAAAATCTATCTTAGATTTTCTATATAAAATTTTACACTCTATGTTTCTTTTTTTTTTTACAAATTGTTATTATTTTTACAAATAATTTATACTTTTGTGGTGTTCTCGTTAGATGATTTAATTTTGAGTGTCCATCCACTTTTAAAAAAGTACCATGATTTATATAAACAAATCACTACCATCATTTTTATATACTGTTTCTGTAAAGAACGTAAATAATTGCCAAGAAGCGATATTTTTTTGTAAGATTCGATGTAAGGAGATGCATACGATAGACTTTTAACATCATGTTTTAAAATTAAGTAAAATGTTCCTGTGATATTGACTAGGTACTGATGTTTCTTTTTAAGAAGTAAAAGCATAGATCTGACAAATTTTTCGATAAATTTATTATATAATAACAACTAGTGATTGTAAATTTTAAATAAGCGGTTGATCATTGTTACAATTATATTTAGTGTTTAGTTTATTACCCCCTATTTCCGGAGCGCATCGAAACATTCTACTAGAAAGTTAAATCACCCAACAAACGTTAAAGACTTATTCTATACCAAATTTGTACTTATTAAAACGTTTAAGTACAATCAACGGGAAGTGTCGGTTTGCTAAACGTCTTTTCAAATTCAACACTTGTACAATTTATTTTGTACGTTACCTCTTTTAACTGAAGTGTATCAACGAAGATGCGGTTAAGGTATACAACTGTTGGTATCTGTGAAAGGTATCACTGCTCAGAGTAATGTTATGATACTAATACCGTTCGATAGCATGCTAACCTTATACACGGTACTGTGACTTTTACATTTGATTATTCTGTATATTGCTGTGTTAATAAAAAAAAAAGGAATAAACTGATAAGATGAGAGTCTGAAAAATTTCAAACAATTCAATACAACGATATCGCTAAAGTGTTCCGAACAAATTTACTCGTTACTTTTAAAGATAAAAAATATTCAACAATATGCAAGATTGGAAACGTTTAAACAAGCTTCCTACTTTCTAAAGCATAGTTCGAACACAATCCTATTGAATAACGTTCCTAATACACTTTCAATGTGTACGTAAAGAAAACCCTATTATGTTTCTTTGTAACCAGACAGTATACATTCTATATTATGTAATTCGTAAAACATAATTTGCATAATTACGAACTGCGTCATGAGCTCGAACTTTGTTGTTGCCTATCTAAAGATGGACAATTCATGTGTCGAAGATTTCGCGGGCCAACCATACCTTCCTGTACTCTTGCACACTCGCTCATCCATATTGCTACGCTTGCTACCTCCTCGGCTGAAAGACGAGGTCCAATACCTGACATTAATAAAAACAAAAAAGAAACGTCAGAATCACAGTGGTAATATCAGTAAAATTATGCTTAAAAAAAGGAAAGAAAATTAGCAAAAACTAAAAGAACCAGAGCTGTACAATTCATATGATTCATCCTTTTATGTTCTCACCAGGAACGTTCGGATAGTATTTGAGCAACCTCGAATCTAGAATTTTCTTCTTTCTTCTCTTCTCATCTGCACTGAACACCCGTCGATTTTTACTTGCATTTCCTCCTGCGGTACTACTACCAGTCGTGCCCTTTTCGGATGCGATTTCACTTTTGTTCGACTTTCTTTCTTCGTTCAACGGAGATTTTTTACTCGATTCCGCGTCCCCACCGGAAGTCTCATTGTCACATTCGACTTTCAGCGTTCCCTCGCTCGACGATTCTTGTTCTGTTTTGTCGTCGGTCATCTTCTTGTAACTCTCGCTCAAGTTCGGTGTTGTATCAGCTAGAAAAGACAGTGCATGCCTCTGTGTAAAATATATAAAAGAAAAACACTTCTAACAATAATAATGTAACCTTGATGGAAAGTACTTCTAGAAGAATCAACGTCCTCCTTCGACACCAACTCCAGATCCAAATTCACGTCCGCCTCCGTGTCTTGGCTTGCGACCGAATAAACACGATCCACGAAGAACTTTCCTTCGTTGGGATCTTGACTGGCTAATGATCCAAAGCCGTTCGCCTCGCTACACATGATAAATTCCGTCGGATCATCGTCCGACGAATCTCTTACGCTGCCGTCGCATCGAAGTCCTGCTAGGTATCTAAACGATTGCAAAAAGAAGCAACGTTTCAACCGAAAAAATCGTTATTGAATTCTAACTAGAATCATCATATACGTTCAGCAGAATTGTAATTTGTTATCTTCGCATACAACGGAAAATCGAATATTAATTCCTGTAACTATGGATGGGTTGGAATCTAATTTTTCAATTCTCGGAACTCGAATCCGAAACTTTGTCAGATTTCGAAATTCGAAACTCTCGAAACTTGATGCGCCGATTTTGTTTAAAAAATTTGAATCTTTATTGACCACAGTTAAACAAAACACAAATATAACAATGTATTCACCTGTTCTTTTTGTAACACCAACACTCGATAGTTTAGCAATTCCTGCTTTTTACTACCACTAAATAATACTATAATAAGTAATTAAAAAATAAAATTTGAAAAAGGAAAAAGAATCACGTACTCTCGATCTGCACTTCTACGATCACCATCGATCGCTAATCTGCTTATATTTTCTATCCTTAAATGCAAAAACCGATCGCCGAACATTTATGAAGCACCTTGAACCGAATATTCGGGATTTATTCATCGATTTCATATTTTTCCTTACCCGGGTTTCGACGTTTTGGGAAACGCATCCTTACCTGTAACAGTTCACGATTCCACGATAGTGAAAGTTTTTTTCTTTTTAAAACCAATGCGACGACAAATAATTTAAAGTGAAATTAATATTCTTAATCCTCTTCTAGTTTCGATTACAAATCATTGGTTCTTGTGCCACAACAAATTACAATAGAAAGAAGATTCGGGGTGTTTCAAGGGTCAATGTCTTATCACAGTGATCAAGCTTCTTATCAGCAGACATTTTTTTACACACTGTGTTATTCTACTTCATCGAACATACCCATAGATTTCCATGAACAACGTAACAGGGACCATGGCCGATCCGCCTTCCGGTTCAAGGGTGAATAATTCACAAATCAGGACCATCGTCTCGAAAAGACTGGATCCTAAAAGGCCTACGGCTATCGCCAGAAACTTCTTCACTTGACACCTTCGTCGAAACTTCCCGATCATCATGATTAGATTCAATTCCCGTCGATCCAGGCACAAGCAGTCCCATCGTCGTAGGATCGTTTCGACAGGCAACGATTTGTTGTAATCTGCAACGATTCGTTGTAATCCACACACGACAGATATTTGTAATTTTGTTCCCGTATCGGCACGGATACTTATTATCAACGGAAAATAACCGAACGAAACAAAATAATTAATACTATAATCCAATCCCTAACCGAATAACTCTTTAGAGGGGGATGATTTTGATTACTAGACGGAAGGTGGTCAGTTACTAAAGGGATTTCTAAATAGAGATAAATTTGTTTGACTTAATCAATCCCTAACCGGCATAGATTCATACAGTGGCCCTCCGTCAGTCTCCCTAAAACAGCAAAACTAAATTGAAAAGTTTATTCGTTAATCGAAACACTTACACTACCCTTTTTTTTAAATAAATGTTATATTTATTTTTTGAAACCGATGTGTACGTTTTCTTTAATTATATTCCAAAATGCTACTATGTAAAATGAATAATTATAAGAATTCATCAAAAAACATGGTGACTTTATAGAAGTTTAAGCCAGTGTAACAGGAAAAGTCTACGATCACAAAAATTAAAGAACGTATGAAATGATTAAATAAAGTTAGGCTACAGACTTAAGTGGTGGCAGTAATTGTGACATCTGCCCTACCTCCGAACTGTCGGAGTAAAATCCTAAGAAAACCGAGGGTCAATCCGGAAACGGTGCTCGGCGGTGGATATTCGAGTCTCAATTTAGTCGGTGGTTCCTCGCCGTCCGCCAACGCTCGAAAGTACGAGCTCGACCACTTCAGCAAATCGTACGGTTGCGTTCGTATGGCCGCCTTGCAAAATTGTTTCAAAATTATTGGCAAACTTGCCGGCACGATGATTTCATGACCGACGGTCGACTGTTCGATAACGGACATTTTCCAATCGACGGATCCACTGGAACACTGGATCACACACCACCGATAACGAAAGGTGAACGACGTAGAAATAGTCGGGGACAGTGTGTTGGTACTACGTGGTACTAGGCGAGACCGTGGTTGATTGTCCAAGGTGTACAGTGTCGAGGACTGTTCTGTTACCGTTTGCGCGGGGTTTCGTCGTCTAGGAAACGATATCGATGGACGTGTTTCATCAGTGCAGAAAACGGAGTTTAATTTCAGATTAAGAATCATAATTAATCAAATTGTTATAAAAAAATATGGATCGACTTCGAAATGCGCTAAAAAGTAGAAAATAATTGCTATTTTTTTTATTATTTATACAGAAATGTAACTACAATTGAGAGAACTTATTCTCCCTTACTGAATAGTATATTACATAAATACATTGTAGCCTTTTCGGAGACGACGCAAATTTAAAAATACAACAATATTGTAACCAAAAATCAGAGACTTTCTGCTCCCTCTACTTTATAAGAATGGTGTATTCGGGAATTACATTCAATTCAACAAAAGTTCGGCTATAAGAGTGTTTCATACATCCGAAAATCAGGATACAAAAGTAAACACTGCACATCAAATTTTTAATTAAATAAAGGCGGCGATACTGTTTTTGCACCTGGGCGGCCAACAACCCAAGAACGACCCTGCTGATTTAGAGTAATAGAAATTAAAGATGGGAAGCAATCTTCAGTTTTATATATCTTTCTTTCAATCGTAGGAAAATGAAGGCAGGGAATGAATTTATTGATTTATTGAACTTATTGAATTTAATAACTTCTTGCACGTCATTATTCAGTTTCACGTATTCCTATAATTAGCAACGGTTTTCTATCTTACATTTAGCTTTAAAATAATCTAAGTTTCATGTACGATAGAACATTCACTTTCTGTAAACTCTTTGTTTGGAATATGAATGCTGCTGGAAGTATGAACATTTTCACAGAACAATGATATAAATGGAAGTTTAAAACTTTTTTAAGTGTTACAGTGATATTTCGTTATATGTTCCATAATGTCAATAATATTGATTTCCTCGCAACATCCATAATTATTACAAATGTCAATGTAATGTCAACATATCTTTTATGCAATGTTTGTGGTGTAATAAAAATCTGTGTTTCGATTACGTTTTTGATACATATTACTCACTTACATGTAATAACATAGAATAAAAATATACTACTAATCCGATATTTAAAAATATACATGCGTTCGTTGTCACTGTTAAACTGTTGTAATAACAATGGAATAATAAAACAATTGACTCAAATGTTCATAATAATACATATACATATTAATAAAAACAATATTAAACGCAATAACTTTTTTGTACGCGAAAAAAAACCAATAGGTCCGTCGGGACGGGAACCCAAGACTTCTTTCTAATACGTCCACTTTACACCGAACGGACGGAAGAAAATCCGTTCACGACCATGTCTATGAAACATTCACAGTATGAACATTCCAATATTTCAAATTACACGCTTTCCAAGCTTATGCCGTTTGCCGTTAGGGGTACAGTAGAAAAAATGGGCGGTTATCATAGGTAGCTAATGCTTCGTCTATATATGCTATGACGGTATAGTCAAGGATCCTACACATATTAGATCTCGTCTGTGATCGAAATAAGGATTAGTTCAGTCAGTTATCAAAAGATGATGCCACCAGTTAGTTCCTTATTCTTTAGAAATCCTAATTTGTTTTTATACATATTCTCGTGAAGGTGCTGTCTGTTTTAATAATGTAACACTATACCGTGACATAAACTTTTATCGATTACAGGAAATACTAAACTAATCAATAACGAATTTATGATACTGCGAACAATGAAAATAGAATTTTTATATAATAAACTCCTCTTGTGACTCTTCGCTTAATGTGAAAAGACACGCTGCAATCTGCATGTGTCAAAAAATTCCCATTGGTGCACTTTTATGTATGGATGTATATACTGATACCACTGACACATACAAAGGACACACATTCAGAAGCACTATCAAAATCGCCACTGATTGCCACTACTAACTCCTTTAACGCACACTAGTGAAACAAATTGAATCATGTCTAAAGTCAATTACAATTATCTGTCACTCATATTTGTTCAGTGATAAATTAAATAGTATAGTACAAATGCTTTGATAATAGTGTTAGGACGAATCCTAGTATCAGGAAGTAGTCCCCATAAGAAAATGCAGCGATAGCTAAATTTTTTAGTAATGAGTGCAATAAGCTGACGCATTTTATGCACGTGAAAAATTCATACGATTTATGACGAAAACCAATCAACTTAAATAATAGTAACTTAATTTTATAATAGCTCTGTTGCTACTAACGTTAAGTTATTTCACTACGTTGTTAGTAATATAAACAAAGCAAGTGCATTATTGTTACTTGTTGTTCTGTTATTGGTGGCAGTGAATAAATAAATGTTGGTGGCAAACATTACAGAATTATGTTATCTGGTAAAGTAGTATGTACAGCATAAAATGACTTATTAACATTTTTATTATTCAGCTGAATAGCTTTCCCATGCCATATAAAAACATTGTACAAAGTATTGGGAAGAATACAGAATACTATATGAACAAATATGACATCACAAGAGCAATCTATGATTGTGCAATCAAAATTCATTTCGGGGGAGACTGTAATAATTGTATCCTTTTGTATCTTTTTCTCCAAGTATATAAGACAAAATATTCATATATAAGACCTTAATCAGTTATAAAGACAATGGAAGCGTCATTAATTCAGGGTTGGGATAAAGCTGCAAGAATTGTAGCACTCCTTAATAAAGGAAGAACTCATGCATTGGTTGTTTTAATCACTTCCAGAACACCACCCCAAGGTTACAGTGACCTTACTATAGAAAGAGTGTTACCCATTGATCAGGATTTCAAATGCAACATTAGTATGTAATTTTGATGTTACTATTAATGATAATTATAATATCGTGATATTTAATGATATATTTAAAGATACAGATGAAAAACAGCAAGATAGTCTAGATGTTTATCTTAATGTGACATCAAGGAAATTACACTTAGTATTTGAAATGACGCCTGGAGTGGGAACCAGTACCTTAGTCTCTGAAATATTCAGAGCTATAGAGGGTAAAATTGAAAATTATAACTGAATTTTATGTTTAATTTTTAACGAATATTTCAATGATTCTAGTATATCAGAAAACAAATAATCCAGCATCAGAATTTTTATGGATTCAAAAGTTAACAGGAAGTACACGTAACTTGAGTGCCACTAATAAGGAAGTAGAAGATGTTACTGACCCTGTATGTGGTTCATTTTATATGGAAATAACTATATTTATTTTTAAACTAATGAAAATCCTAATTTAAAAAATTGTTTTCCAGCTGGTGGATTTGGAAAGTCCAGTTTTAGTTGTAACTAGACGTAGCATTGCTTCTGGCAAATCTCCAGTAACTGCCAGAGAAGCGTTAGTACATTATCAAATGGCATGCAAGGAAGATGACTATACATACAGTAAAACATTCCAGTTAGTTACCCTGTGTTTTATATATTGAGCTTAGTTTAATGTTGTTCGTGTTCTTATCTTCATTTGTTACAGTATATTTATTGGTACATGGAACGTAAATGGACAACCACCAAATAGTATTACATTGCATGAATGGCTAAGTTACGATAAAACACCACCAGATGTGTATGTAATTGGATTCCAAGAATTAGATTTAACCAAAGAAGCATTTCTTTTCAATGATACTCCAAGAGAAGAAGAGTGGAGGTGCCGAAATTATAATTAAATGTTTCATGAAACAGTAGAATAATTCGTTAAATGATATATTTGAACTCGTACGAATATTATTTTTCTAGGCAAGTTGTAGCAAAATCTCTTCATCCAGATGGAGAATACGAACAAGTGGCCATTGTGAGATTAGTGGGTATGATGTTACTCATGTATGCTTTAAATAGTCATGTACCATTTATAAAAGATGTATCAGTTGATACTGTAGGCACTGGTATTATGGGTAAAATGGTAATACTCTTTTTCCAATAGAATTTGAAAATTGGAAGTTTAATATGTATATATAATTAATTATAATTTAAACAATTCCGATAGGGTAACAAAGGAGGAGTAGCAGTAAGTTGTTCTATTCACAACACATCTATCTGCTTTGTTAATGCTCATTTAGCAGCACATTGTGAAGAATATGAAAGACGAAATCAAGATTATGCAGACATATGTGCACGATTGTCTTTTTCAAAATATGTTCCACCGAAAAATTTTAAAGATCATGAGTATGTATTTGAGTGAAATATTGGTTTATAGAACATATTCTAGTATTGTCGTAGTTAAACAACAAAATTTTTAATGTAGCCAGATCTACTGGTTGGGAGACTTGAATTATCGAATAACAGATATGGACGTTGCAGTTGCTAAACAACATATAGAAGCAGAGAACTATGCTCCTCTTTTGGATTTAGATCAACTGTGCCAACAAAGAAAATTAAATCGTGTTTTACAAGGATTCCATGAAGCCGAAATTACATTTAAGCCAACGTATAAATATGATCCAGGCACTGATAATTGGGATTCAAGGTAAAATTGCTTTTATATCGACATTTATATACCTTTTTCTTTATATAAAAATGTACAAATTACAGTGAGAAGGGCAGAGCACCAGCATGGTGTGATCGTATACTGTGGAAAGGAGCAGCAATTACGTCAATTGAGTACAATAGTCATCCTGAATTAAAAATCTCTGATCACAAACCAGTCAGTGCTATTTTTGATTCTCAGGTAATTATAAATGTTTAAATTTATCAACTTGTTAAGTACGCTTCAATAAGTCTCACATTTTTTAAACATTTGCAGATCAGAATTATAGACATGGCAAAATATCGTAAAATTCATGAGGAAGTCATGAAAAAACTTGATAAACTGGAAAACGAATTTTTGCCACAAGTAATGGTTGATACCACCGAAATCATATTTGATACCTTGAAATTTCTAGAACCTAGTAGCAAAGAACTTATTATTGCAAATACTGGTCAGGTAAGTAGATTTAATATTAAAACGATAAATCCTTTATACAGATAATAATTATATTGTTTGTAGGTTCCAGTTCAGTTTGAATTCATAAAGAAATTAGGCGATACTAGTTACTGCAAAGATTGGTTAGATATTGAACCCTATAAAGGTTTTATAAAACCAGGTACAATTTTTGTATCGTCAATTTTCCTTAAATATAAGCAGCCTGTTTTATGATTTGGTCTTAATTGTATTTCAGGAGAGAAGTGTGACACTAGATTTGAAATATATGTCGATAAAAGATCGGCTTGCAAATTAAACTCTGGAGAAGACAAATTGTATGATATCTTGATTTTACATCTCGAAAGTGGAAAGGATATATTTATAACTGTGACAGGTAATACAATTTTATTTTACCTTAATGACAAATAAACGAAGAAAGTAACATGGATCACTTTTTTCAGGTACTTACGAAAGAAGTTGTTTCGGATCATCAATAGAAGCATTAGTCCACATTCGAGTGCCAATTAGAGAAATTCCTATTGGAAGATTAATGGAACTTGTAAGCCGATTACATAAAACACGAAGTTAAATGAAGACATAGCAATAAATTACTTTCTCATATCTTTACATTACAGGAAAATAATAAGAATCTTTCTCAAGATCCATATGAAATACCGAAGGAAATATGGTTTTTAGTTGACAGATTGTATCGACATGGTATAAAAACACCGGGACTTTTTGAAACACCGGGACTTCACAGTGAAATTATAACTATAAGAGATTGGTTAGACAATGGAAGTCAAGACCCAATGCGTATCCTTTTCTGAACGTAAAACTTAAATATCGAAAAGATTATAATCGCTTCCGATGATTTATAAAATCATTATAATTCCTTAATAATTATAAAGCTGGTAGCGTACACTCTGTAGCAGAAGCATTACTTTTACTATTAGAATCAACCGCTGAACCATTAATTCCATATAATCTACACAGCGTGTGCTTATCTGCAGCAGTAAATTACTTACAATGCAAACAGGTAAACGAATAAAAAATAATGTATACAGAAAAGAATGTTCTGTGTATACTAATTAATCATTGTTGTAATTATTTTACAGATTGTGATGCAGCTGCCAGAGATTAGAAGAAAAGTATTTCTTTATATATGCTATTTTTTAAAAGAATTATTGAATCACACGCAAGACAATGAATTGGATGCCAAAACTCTTGGTAAGACTTCATTAAAACTAATTAGTACAGTAATAGATAAATACACGAATACAATTTTATTTGTAGCGACACTATTTGGATCGATATTCTTAAGAGATCCGCCGAGAAGTAGGGATGATCGAAATCAAAGGAGTCGTACTGTTCAAGCAACAATTGACAGGAAAAAAGCAGCATTTGTTTATCACTTCTTGGTGAACGATCAAAGTGATTTTATTCATGATCGATAGTAATATTAAAAAAAATTTGAATTGAATGTATGTGGTAAATGCTTTTTCTCTAGCTAGGAAAACAATATTTCCTCTCTATGGTTGTGCTTATAACACATCGTTACCTTTACCATATATTGGAGCTAACTAAAAGTAAGCGGTCCTTGCTTCGGTTCTATATACCTACAGCAAGTCACGACCGAATGACAGGGAACAGAGCCGAAACAGCCTACAGAGAGGAAATACTAAAATAGTTTAATGAGCAACATAATTACGTCAATATTTTGTGGCATTTAATACTGCTATCGTAGTACTTAACAATAATGCGAAAATATTTGTATGGTAAAAATACAACTTGCCAATTCCAGAACTTATTTGAAAAAAAAAGTATAACACTATGCGCTATGTGTGAAATACTCGTGATTAGATATTAAGTAAATAAAATAATCCAAGCTACAATTTCATCTAGTCTTCGTAGCCTAAAACGGCTAAGTACGTAATATGTAAATTTATTCATAATAAGAAATAAGTTCTGAAAAAATTAATTTTATATTAGTTTAAATTTTAAATGTTTAGAACTGTAACAATAACTTTAATTTCTGCCTAGAGGTAATTTTAAGTTTAATCCTTGTACATCATTGTAACGTACTCTGTACATGCATAATATTATTTAGAAGGAACCGAAGTATTATGTATACCTGTCGACTTTTGTATCAAAATTTTATTAAAAAGTACATACAAAATGTGATGAATAATGCTGCTTACGATACTTTGTTTGTAAATAAAAATAGAAACTTAAAAACAATTGGTAAATGAAATATCAACGACGTTTAGATTTGAAAATAAATTGTTCTTGAAAATGCTGTTGATTTGAAGAAAAACTCACAACAATAAAATTGATTGAAAGTGATTGGTCCAATGATCACAAAACGCGTAATTCGTATAGGAAAAATAATCCAATATTCTAAGGAACGAAGAAAAGGAGTAATATATCATTCGACAATTTTAAAACTATCTATGAAAAGGAACATTAAATGAAGCTGTTGTCATGGAACACATAAAATATCAATAAAAAGAAAAATTGCGATAAAGACAAAGAAATTTGTCTAATGTTTATCTTTCATGACGAACAATTGTATACTTATTTACAAAACGATCTGAAACACACGCTATATACTGAACTTATAGAAAATGATCGATCTTAAAAACTGAAACCTTTTTGCGTTGCTTCGGTTGGTTTGAATTCCAACTGACCATCGGCTGCTGCAGGTGTTAATGTTGATTCTTCAGCATCCTACGAATAATAATTTTACGTGTAATATTGGTTCTTATTAATTAAATGTTAAGATTTCGTAGAATCTGCTTACCCCATCCGAGAAGAAAGTATCAATCATGGCAGCAGCTTTCTGATACACTTGTTCTACATCGTGTTGCTGAAGAGCCTCGAGTTTATCCAAACCGCCGACTTCTTCTATCATTATAGCTACCCGTTCAACTTCTCCCATTTTCTCCGCTGCATTCAATATGTTAGTCAAGCCATCCAAAACAACAACCACAGTCTTATAATCCTTGGCGTCTAACAAGTTACAAAACGGTACTAGCACTCCCAATTGTACCAGTTGAGCTAACTGCTGTATAGATCCACCTGAAGTTAAATTGGTTACAGCCCATGCTGCTTCTTTTTGAGATTTGAAATCTCCCTGTATCATAATAATTATAAGATTAATTATTACATTTATTAAACTACTACATATAACGCAAACAGTGTACAGTTTACATACATTTTGTAGAACGTTTATTAAAGGAGGTAGTAATCCAGCATTGATGACATGTTGAATTTGATCCATATTACCGGCTGTAATGTTACTAATAGCCCATGCTGTCTCTTTGACAATATTAATACGATGGTGTTGTAATAATACCCCCAAATGCTGTAAACCTCCTGCCGATATTATCGCGTCTGTCTGCATGTCATTGCCTGTAACTATATTTCCAACTGCACGAAGTGCTGGAGTCAAAATTGTTACTTCGCTTGAGGCAAGTAAATCTACAAGTTTTGGAATAACTCCGCTCTCCACGACCGCTTGTATTTTGCCATTCGAACCGTCAGTGAGATATGAAAGAGCCCAGCAAGCATCAGCTGTAACATTAAATTTCTGGTTAATTTCGAAATGCTAAATGTTTAAACAGTATATAGTAGTAATACTAATTTTCACTCACAAAGTATATCTTTATCTGTATTACTGAGTAAACGGTTTAATACTGGCAGTGCACTTCGTACAATTTCAAACGGAGGCGGCGGATTTTTATTGCGGCACAAATTTGATAATGTCCACACGATGTTACGAGTGAACGTCACCTACAGCAATAATAAGTTTCGATAGTAATTGCATCTACTGTAAAGCTTAAATGTTTGGAATCATTTGATATTCATAAGTTACACAAAAAAATATGTCAACCTCTTACAACTATAGCATCTCCCTAGTTCAAAATGTTAACTTAAAATCGTCATTAAAACATTCAAGTTTTCAACTCATTGAATAAGTTATCTCAAATCTTTAATCAATAGCGTACACGCAAAATTTATGTATGATTTACATACAGGAGTATCGGGTTTGATCAATTCCAATAAGAGAGGCATGGCATCATGACCAAGAACAAGATCACGAGCCATTGGTCCATCTCCAGCAATGTTTCCAAGCGCCCATACTGCTTGTTCAGCAACATTGGGTGATGCAGATTTGAGCAATGCAACTAATTTTGGTATAGCACCATGTTTTACAACAACATTGGTTTGCTCCGATGTTCCAGACGCTACATTAGTCAGTGCCCATGCTGCTTCAAATTGTAATGGAGGACTAAAAACAATTAAAAGAAAAACAATAAATAATTTATTAACTTTAATATTTAGTAAAATAAAGTTTCTGTGATGTATATGTACTTGTGATGATAGTCCAAGAATTCAACACAGCGTGGCACAATTCCACGTTCTATCATGTTATCTATAGGTGGGTTCTTTTCTTTGCTCAACATTTTTCGACATGCTTGTGTGGCTTGGAGCTGAATTGTTTGATCTGATGAGTTCATACCAGCAACAATTTCGTCTATTGATGTAGAAAGGGGTGACAAAGTTGTCTCATTAGTGGGGCTTTGTGGTTCTTGCCCTATATTAAGATTACGGCGTTTCAATAATTGTTCATCCTTCCTAGCTTTTCTCAACTCCACGGATACTTCATTTCTCCTTCTACGTGCCTCCTATAATAGCAGGTTGTATGATTATATATAATAAATGATAACATAATGAATTTATCTGCACTTGTATCCAATTTAGTGCCTATCAGATCAGTAACACATTTTTTGAATTTTTATACTTTGACTTTTCATTTAAGATATAATTCAATTAACTTACTTCATGCTTAGAATTGAATTTGAAGTTAGCCTTGCGGCCCTGATGACCCTCAATCTCTGGTGCAGGCATTTTTTTAATAGAATTGGTATGTATGTTCTCTGTAAAAAGTAAAAATATATAATAATAAGTCGATAACGTAGAGATTACATAATAAAAAAATATTTTTTGTAAATTAATTACATTATAGAACGTTGTGAAAAAAGACAAACTAGAGAACTGTCTAACATCTTAATATTACTCCACGGTATGTAGTAAAATTTCAAGAAAGAATACTAAAATTTTCAATCAATTCATTACACAGAACAAGGAAATTCGTAAAAATGTGTCTATTATCTTATAAATCACGTTTAAATAACACGCTGTTTTTAAACCTACATCTTCTAACGGTTATTTGCCATTTTTTCGCAACATTTCTATATGTCTCACAAATTATACTTAAAATACAGATTAATGTGCCGTCCGAATTAAAGAGCTTTGCTTACCGTGAATACGTCAATAAATATTAGAAGATTAAATGAAACAAATCATGAATTATCAGACACTTTATGAACTGATCGCGACCCGCGCGTCAAATGTACAATGGCTGCTCGTGAAGTTTCTTTGTACTTACATAGAACCTGTTGCTAGTGATCGGAGGACGAAAAAGAAATTATTGTTTATCTTCGTCCAATTAGAACGTTCTTCTTTGTACGACGATGACGGCATGGAAGTACGATTGGCGGACGAAACGATGAGGATGCACGATTGGTCCGTTAATATTTAACGTTCAATTTTTAAATTAAAGTCTCAATTCTCGAAATACGGTTAATAATATTTCAAGATCTTATAAAATGTATACAATTTGATATTCATAACAAATAATTTATTTATAGGCTCTTGTGATTTTATTTAATTATTATCGTTATTTATATTATATAACGAAATTTATATTACTAATACCTACTAATACCAGCTCTGCTAATACTTTACATTGGTGCTCGATTTCTCAAATTTTGTAATTTGTCCATAACTATGTAATCGTTTATGAAAGAAAACGTATTTGGAAAAATGAAGAAATATTGAAAATTATCACGATGAATCACAAAGAAATTGTTCACAAAAATGTAGGTTTGCAAAAGTAGGTTTGCCACAACAAATTTAAAAATGTAAGATATGGCTGTTTATATTACTAGGAAAACAGTATGAAGAAAGAAATTGTGTACAAATAAAGTAACCATGTCATTAGTCATTAATTATTTTAAACAAATTTTTTCCACATCTAGTATATAAATATAACCGATAGACGGAAATTTATATTAGAAGGATTGGTTCAATTTCATTTTAATGTACAAAATTATTGACGCTGTACAACAATCACATAACAAGCATTTCAAAAGAAATAAGGTTATTGAAATATTATAAATCTTATGTAAGCAATATAGTTTCATTCACTTATAGTATTGTTACTAAATATTATAATATTGAGTCTATAGTCAAAAAACATTTCCATTGTATTGTCATTGAAATATAGATAAACATTTAGCATTTACAAAATGCATGATAGCTTATTTATATCTGGTATGTTACTGTTATGTTTCACATTATTAAATTAATTTTGTAGTTCAGTTCATAACATGTGCAATATAAACTGTGAACATATTTTAAGTAAAGTATTCACTGTCTTTTGCTGGTTTCTTTCACGTGATACATGATTCCACAGTCTTCTTAACAGCATCACGTGCATATGGTATATAAGATAGGGAATACCATGTCATTGCCAATGATTGAATAATTATAAATAAAAGGGCTAATCCAGGATTTTTTAGCTGAAAATATAAACATTAGTTGAAAGTTATCATTAAAGGCACATGTACTTTGAAATTTCATAATCTTATACTTACATGTAAAGCTGCAAATAATGTCATTCCAATTGCCACAAACACTAAAACAGTTGCCACTACTCTTGTTGCAGCGAACATCTTTTTCAATTGACTGCATGGACCCATTAAAAAGCATGTGCTACAAACAAAATCGCTATTTTACTTTCAAAATAATTATACATTGCATATATTCTTATACATATAATTATTCTATAAAGTAAACATAGAAGAAAATTGAAAGAATTCTAAAAGAAATATTTTAATGATCAGAATAAACCATTAAATTACTTACAGGGAATTTCAAGAAAAAAAATATATTTGTATGAGTGTTTAGATAAAAAATGTTGAAATAAAAAGAAAATTTTATGATATTTTACCTTGCCATTGAAACAATATTCCCTATTGTATAAAACACTGCAAATACTGCAAATCCCCTGTTTAAAAAAAAAGCAAATGATCCAAGGATGGAGCAGAGTATACCAATAATAAAACAAATAGCAAAGCCCTTTATTCGAGTGGACCAACTTAATGAACTTTGGTCCATAACCTAAAAATAAAATGTTAATTTATTTTTAATCGAGATTACTATTAATAATAAACAATATTGATAAAAAATGTTGAAATCCTACATTATGTTTTTTTAAGTGCACATTCTTACCGTAAAGTCCACATCAGCCTTCCATTAACAATTGCAAGCATTCCAAATAATAGTTTTATACAATAGCAAAATAAAATTACACGTATGCAACGAATATTATTAAAAATAATACTAATTACCTGAGTAATAATACCACTTTCTTCATCGCATTGGTCATTGCCACTTAGTGCTCTCCTTAGTTTATCCATTTTCTGCATTAAATTAACCGTACGTTTTCAAAAATAATACTTTATCTGTAATACTATTTAAATTGACACGATATCGTTTCTTCATGAAACTACAAATGATCCGCCTCCCGTAAATATATGATTCATTTCAATGCTCACTTTTGATATGATAATAATTATACATTTAACTGATATTAATACAAAACATCAACAGAAGAGTATAAGTATAACCACAATATCTCATAAAGTGTTTTTTCTTCCTGGTAAAGTGAGATGTGTCACTAGTGTAATACATTGCACGAAACAGCTGTTTCCCTATGCATACATATTTACTTTGAAGTCGGTCCGAACGGGTCCGACCGAACGATTTGTATTAAAAAGTAAGTATTGTTTTTTTTTGTAAATGAATAGAAAAATATACTCAGGATGTTTTCTGTGAACATCCGCTAACATAGGTATATAATAGTAAAAATTACTTGATACAAACTAACTTCCTTATTTTCAAAAGAACGTACAATAATAAATAGGTTGTAACGACAAAGGATTTGCAGATGTGTGGTTAAATACACCTATCGTATAATAATGTATAATGAGAAGAAAAATATTAACTATTATGTAATGTAAATTGTGAACTATTTATATAACGTGCGGATTATAAATTTAAAAAATATGTATTAATTTATATATATATATTTTATGTTTATACCATACTTTTATATACATAAGATCTAAGAACTTAATCATTGTAGAATTAGAAAAATTTACATATATTTTACAATATTGTTACTGTATGTGTTGTATGCGTAACATTGTGATTTATCAATGAATAAATGAATTTTATTGATGTGTAAATGAGATTTCATTAACATAATTTGCTGCTTCGTTCTCTCCAATATCTCTTAAAATACTTTCCATATCAGCCAAAGACATTGTTGTCTGAACCTAAAAAATAATTTTTTTTATACATTATTAAAAGAAGTTACAGTATAATGGTGTGCTGCAATAAACAAACTTATAGCGTACATCGATATAATTTAAAAGAAGTAGGGATGGACTCAATGAACACTGTTGAAGTGTCTTTAAAAAATAATCAAATTTTAATCGTTTTGCTAGTTGTCTCCACCCTTGTGTTTTATCCAGAATAACAGATAATTTTTCTTTCTGTTCCGTATTTAGCAAATTTTTTTGTAATTCCTCGTCTACCACCTCCAGTTTCGTGGAAACCAAACCCATCTCGTTTGGTACCTCTCCAGTTTGGCTATTAAGAAGCTGCAGAATCTATATTAAACACATTTTTATTGTTTAGAACGTTTTACCGTGTGACTAGTAAACATATATATACGCATATAAAAAATGTAACAAATTACATCTGGTTTACTCATGGCCAAATCAAACGATGATTGTCCAGTACATTCTTCTGTGGTTTCATCGTCAGAGTCTACTTCCTGTTTCACATGTATATGTGATCCTTTTCTTTTCTCCACCTGTTGGAATTATACCAAACAGAACACATTGAGTATGTGAAAGAAATATGGTTTTCGGATAAAACATGATTAAAAATATACTCTTAAAAGAAACACATACATCATTCAATTCTCTATTATGATTCTGAATGTGTGGATCGGCCCCATATTTGATTAACAGTGCACACAATTCTTTCGCCCTTACTCCAGAATATACAACAGCAGTGTGCAAGGCAGTATTTCCACTGAAGTTTCTTTTGTTTATGGCTATATTTGTCTAGGAAAATGTAATGTAACGTTAATTTGCGTAAATAATGCTTACAAGAGTCGAACATTTTATTTTTATAAGAAATGTAGTAGAACTGTACATCCCTCTAATTTCTAAATGACAATCTACTAGTGACTTGTTTAACAACTATGCTTGTCACTTAAAATTTCAAAGTGGTGCCACACAATGGACCTGTGTGACAACTTCTAATGCAACATAAAAATTTTATTATTTGTTATTACATTTACATGGAAATGAGACCAAGTACAACAATATTTATATAATTTTAAATTATACTTCTTTCAGTACGTGCTATTAAACGAATAATATTCCACATAAGTGTAACTCAAAATTGTCCACACAAGGTTATGTATGAATTAATTTTCATAAAAAAAATCTCATAAAAGTTTCATAACAATGTAATGAAAATGAGAGAAATTTAAAATGTTAAATTAATAGTTGTCACAGCGATATGTTATACGACAATGCTTTAACTTATTCTTGATGGGCCTTGTTTTATATTCTTGTCAGGTTCACTACTTCACAACTTTTAAGTAACTGGTCCCGAGATATTTTGAAAGCGTTATTGTAATTTCGTTGAAGTAAAGATTAAGACTATACCTTTTTCAATAAATATTCAACAATTTCTTTGTGTCCACCTTCTACGGCAATGTGTAACACAGTACGACCATAAGACATGTCAGTATTATTTACATTTGCCCCAGCTTGAACAAGTAAACATACTGCATTATATGAACCTGCTTCTGCTGCAAGGTGCAATGGTGTCCATCCGGCATCGTTATGAGTTTCAGTGTCAACTTTTTTTTCTGACAGTAAAGCGTCCACACAAGCAGCTGCTTGGGGGTCTAAAATGTATACAAATGTATAATTAAATGATAAAACTTTAATTTATCTTTCAACTTACTTTTTACAGCAGCGTGTAATGGAGAGCATCCATGTTCATCCGATTGATTTGGATCGGCTCCTAACATCAGTAGTGCTTTTGTAATTTCCGGTTGATTTTGTAAAACCGCATAATGCAATGGTGTCTAGTAAATAAAATTCATTTTTCAATATAAAATGTAATAACCAAACATATTAAAGTAATTATAGTAAGAAATAATTTAATTTAATTGATCGTATTGAAAAAACATTTACTTTTCCAGAGCTATTCTGTTCATTGACAAGCGTCTTACAATCCTTATCAGTGCTTATCAACATTAGTATATACTTGACGATATCGCGTTGACCATATCGTAGTGCTGCATGCAACGGCGAATCTCCATATGTGGAACGATTTCTAAGTAGCTTTCGTACATGTTCTTCGGTACTTTTTGAATCCATTTTTATGCATTTCGTAACTTCGACAAGTATACTTTTAGGGAACATTATGTCATCTTCGTACTATAAAGTAAAATTTGTTGTATTATTCATTTGTTTCATAATGAAATGTATTAAATGAGGTGTTAAATTATTAAAGAACAACGCATACATACCCGTTTAGATGATGGACCATCAGCGGTTAACATATTCTCATCATTGCACTCAACATATTTTAGATAACCTGCAAAAACTAGCTGGTGAAAAATATGAAAATAATTTTTAAAAATCGCAATTTATGGAGTCATGCTTCATGCTTACCCTCAATGTCCATATGATTAAGAAACTCTTTTGCCTCTGGTGAAGAACTATTCTCTAATAACATCCTTTGTAATTCTTTAGACACTTCTCCACTATCACCACTTAAGTTTGCAGATATATTTCCTGGTTCAACATTAAAAGTTGGTAATATATATGATAACTCAGTACTTCCAGAATGTGACATTCGTTGCCGCTTCCTGCCTGTGCATTAATGTACTATTAATTTTGTTTTAAGTTTGTAGTAACCATTTTGATCATTTAAGTTACCTATAACTCTATCACTTGGTTTATAAGTAAAATTCATTGGCTCCGAACAGTCAGAATCGGACGGTCGTTCCAATTGTATGAATACTTCTTTTGATGATGTAATATTCTGATCTCTATATGGTGGTGTTCTACGAAAACAAAATATACAAAATTATCTCATGACATAATTTCGAAAACTTTACATACGCTAATTACTGAAGTACCGAAATACAATTGCAAATTGATGGTGTACATCCAATTCTGAAAAACGTCCATATGCACACCAAATTTCATTGTCATCCTCATTTACTTCAAAAAATTTGATTCTTATATTCTCTGTAATAAAAAAATGTATGAATTAAAAATAATTCATTTCTCATTCTTTCCTACAATTTACATTAAAAAAGCATACTCACTTCTCCCTACTTTCTCTACAAGTAAAAAGACTTCCTCTCCTCCATCAGCACTGCTAGTATATTTGTCCATTCGGCATATCTTAAGTTCCCCTGTCAATGCACTTTCTAATACATTACAAATATTACTTCAAAAAATTTTTTCCGATGTAAAATATTTTAATATATTTAGAGTGGTATTTGCACTTACTGAGATTATTAATAGCATGTGAGTAAACAGGTTCTGTTAACGGTATCATAACATCACGTTCATCCAAAAGAAATGCTTGAAAACATAGTGCAACAGTGTTTAAATTCACAGATTTTTGGTAGCATTCAACATCAGCTTTGATCTACAACATGAAGTGTTCATTAAGGTGAAAATCTACATTAAATTTGGCTTATATATTTAAGCTATCACAATATATTGCATATATTATTAAAAAAAAACATACTTGTGCTTCTTCCCGAGTACTCAGAGTTGCACTTGCGTGTTTTCTTTTATTCTTCTCCAATGCTTCTTTCCGCATTTTTTTAATAAGTTCCTCTCTAACATGTTTTCTGGCTGTGTGTATAATTCCCATTCCATGGAATCTATATGTTTTACAATTAATAACAAATGGAGAACAATAAAAAAAATAGTAAATGTCATTGTTGATGCTACTTAAGATAGATGTAATATCACAAATCTAATTTATACATAAAATATAACATACGTTGCAATAAACCGATTTTCTGGAGTGACCTTAATGTCATGTGGATCATCACAATCAACACCATCTACTCTACGCACCAATCTATGGGCATGAGGTATTCTATGACCCTCATCAGATGTAACTAGTGTACATCGTATTACAGCACTGGTAGGACAATTATGTAACTAAAAAATATAAAGTGGTCTATCAGCTACTAAAAGAAGGCTATAATTTTTAGAAAATTGTATCATGTTCTTGAAAAAACTAAGAAGCATATAAAATAAAATAAATTGAACAATCCATAACTAGTTGCTTTATTGCTTCAATTTTATCAATGCACATACTTGGACTGTTGGTGCATGCTTATTACGACTACTACCAGAATTTGTGCCTACTAAACTTCCATGTGTTCCTATCATTTCTGACTTATATCGAAATCTAAATTTTTCAACTGGTTGCTCCAAAATTTTAATATATGGTTCACCAATCACTAAAAAAGTAGAACATAAAAAATTTCACATTTCTTAAACACAGTTTTTTTCACTGTTCATAAATAATACTAAAAAATTGATATATATATGTATATATATACCTGTAACATCTTTCAAAGACGCCATACAATCAATATCATGCATTGGTGATAAAGAAGATGATATAGGTGAAGCAGCACTTGTTCCTTGTGATCCATTAAATGGACTAAACATACCTTGATTGTTCATTGTCTGTAAATCTTGAAAACAAAAAAATACACACAACATTACTCAATACCAATTAAGATAAATTAAAATGTAAAGTAAATATTAAAAGAATATTATAACACCAATGATACGATGTGTGATATTATTGTTATATGAAAGTGTCCATGCACCAGTTTCATTCTTTGAATGAACTATTAATTTATTTATTAAACTGAAATTACGATCAAACTGACAATCATTCGGTATTAGTGTAGACAAACACACTTTTATTAATAAATTCATTTTAAATATTCAGGGAAATATAAAAAATTACCGTGTCCATAAGGAAAATAATCCTGGTTTTCAGATACATTTTGGAAGACCATGTAATTTTCGAAAACCTCGGGCATTGTGTACTGCTTTATTGATGCCACGCAACGAAACAAACATTCACTATATCAGTTACAAAGAAACTGATAAACAAAAATTTTGGAACAGAAATCGTTATGTCTAAACTTTCTCAAAGTGAACAAATTGTTACTATCCAGTAAGAGTCTGTAGACATTCCGCGTACTCACCGTACATGAATATCGCAACTTATCTCGATAATGCGTCAGTATATAACCTTGAGTGCAGTTGTAGGTTTTTCCCCGTCGTAGAAACGGTAGAAACCCAGTGTCACCAGTGTTGTTAACCAATCATTCTGTACGGAGGAGTAGTTGGGAGGAGTTATCCGTAAAGAAGGATCGTATCAACGCATCAACAACCCCGTGCACGTTTACGTACAGAACAGAAAATCTTCTGTTATCTGTTAATTCCTAACGTATAATAAATATTCCTTTTATATTGCTATTAATGATTACAATTACTTTCATCGTTGCAACTATCACCTTTCGTTGACTACGATTCCTCCTTACTAGATTATACTTTCTTTCATTATGGCTTTCGTAAGTTTTATTGCAAATATCAACGAAAGAATGACACATAAAACTTCACAAATTATGTATAAATAAGGAAGACATTTTGATTTGTAACAACATTCATTTGTTAATTACGAATACATTTTTTTATTTATTTCAGCTAGAATTCATTTAAATACAATATTATTATGCATATAATATTTCAACTTAATTCGAAATATTTTTACAGCTACATGGTCACCATGAACCCAAGGAACAAAGAATTTCATCGACAACTTTTTCCGTACTCAAAGTAGAGCATTACTACCATAAAAAAAAATGAATAGAAAAATATGTACTATTTCCGTACAATACAAATTCCTAATATTTGTTCCAAAACTTACAAACAATTCATTAAAATGATTATTTACATATTTTAATAAAAATTTACTTTACTTATGATTCTGAGTACTTTTCAATTAATTCTATATTCCTATACATATACATAACTAATATAAAGCTGTATACTGATTTTTCCATTTTCATTCATTTTTGCATACATTCATGACATTAGTAGCAGAGACTTGTGCTGTATTGTCAAAGAAGTATATATAGTACATGTACATAAATACATAATAATATAACAGTATCAATGATAATTGTTAAATTATAATGATAATTTATTTTTATTAAACGAGAATTCATGTCCTGATAAAATTTTCGACGTTATCGAGTTTAAAGATGGCAATTATAATACTCAAATGTATCATAAGAGGTAATTAAACGTATGTAGACGGGACTATATCTTTCAGACTAACACTATCGAACTGGAGTGGTGGGGGCTAACCTGGTGAGATATTGTGTGTATATATATATTAGAAAGGCAAGTTACGTGGTGTCAGCAACGCATTTGTTACACTTCAGTCGCGAGCTTTGGTCTTTATATCTTATGTTAACGATGTCGGTTAAACACGAAAAAATTGGTATTATTGGCAGGTAACAAGATTTCATTAATTCAAATACAATTAAAATGTAAACAATTTTTTATATTTCCAAGTTTTCTATTGAACATACGCTATACTTGCTTATTTACAAATGTATTTTATTCCGGCATCTAATGTTATTATTAATCATAATCAGTAACAATCAATATATACATTTAATTTTGGATATATATAAATTTAAAATACTGTGTCCTGTATTTAATATTTTTCAGTGGTTCTCATTCACGTAATATTAATTGATAATGTATCCATGCTCTTATGACTGTACGTTTCCAACTACAATAAATGAGAATGTTATTTCTTAAGAATTATTTGCTATAACTTCTTCATTCAACTATAACTGGATGTATAATTATATGATATATTAATAAGGATAACTATGTTGAAAGTTTTATAACGTGTTACTTATAAAAATTCGAAATCTGTATATATATCGCAAGCCGATTTTATTCGACTGTTCATTTAAAATGTCAAAGAAATGATACCCTGTAGTAGTTTACTGTAGATAAGATAACAACAGAAAACTTAAATGATAACAGCAAAGATCATGTAATACGTCTCACAAATATTAATCTAAAATTATCGTTTAAGGTACATGATTTAAAATAAAGTAATTCTAAGATGGTAGTAGCTATTTTATTTAATTAATTTTTATTTTACAGTGTATTAATTGTTTAATCATTATTTTAGCGGCTTAATTGGTCGTAGCTGGGCTATGCTTTTTGCAAGCGTAGGATATGAAGTAATTATTTACGATATTGTACAAGAGCAAATTACGAAGGCTCTTGAAGACATTCAGCAGCAATTGAAACGTCTTGAAAATAGCGGTCTTTTACGAGGTTCACTTACCGCGGATCAACAAATTCAATTAATTAAAGGTTTGCCTGTTATTTATGATTCATAAGTACTTGAAATTGCAGTTACTATTGACATTACAAGTTGTTTCCGAATATTCGTTAATCGAATCATAAAATATTACAAATAGGGTCATCAAATTTGACCGAAACTGTAAAGGGGGCTAAGCTTGTTCAAGAATGTGTACCTGAGAACTTACCAATGAAACTGAAACTCTACAATGAACTTGACAGTATAGTCGACGACAAAGTAATTCTGTCCTCTTCTACGTCTACATTCCGCCCTTCGTTGATTAGCGAGAAATTAAAACATCGTGGTCAATTACTTGTGTCGCACCCGGTATGTACATATTCAAATAAGACCGACTGAATTTATAGTAAAAAAAAGTATTTATGAATAATTAATTATTCGTGGTACTATGCATATAGGTGAATCCCCCATACTATGTGCCGCTGGTAGAAATTGTTCCTGCACCATGGACTCGACCTGAACTACTAACACAGGTGAAAGCTATAATGACTGAAATAGGCCAAACACCTGTTGTATTTAATAAAGAACTTGATGGATTTGCGCTTAACCGTATACAGTATGTAAAGCAGTTATACTAATATATTGTGTCAAGGAGAATGTACCTATTTACCAAAAAAACCATGTACACTTAGATACGCGATTTTGAACGAAGCATGGAGATTGGTAGCTGATGGCGTATTAAGCGCGAAAGATGTAGATGCAGTTATGAGCGAGGGTCTTGGAATGCGATACGCCTTCCTTGGTGCCTTTGAAGCCGCACATTTAAATGCTGAAGGTAAACTTTATTACTTACAAAGAAAAAAATAGAAAAATTTATTGAACTATTTTATGATATTTGTCCTTTCAGGAATGAAGAAATATTGCGAAACATACAAAAATTCGATCTACGATACCAGCATGACTTTCGGTCCAACTCCTAAATTTGAAGGCGAGATGGCAGAAAAGATTAGTAATGAGCTTAATGAAATGTGCCCATTAAACAAACTTCAAGAGAGACGTGCCTGGAGAGACGAAGCTTTGACCAAACTATCTGTATTAAAGAAAGAACTGAATAAAAAAGTATAAGTTACTAATGAATTATTGAAACAATATTGTGTAAAAAGTATAAATATTTTACAATTTTTTTGTTTTAAATAAAGATACAAGTTATGGGAATTTAAGTACTTTACTGTTAAATGGAATAGTGCTTAATTGAAGCACACGATTTTAAAGAAAATAAAGACCCTAGTTGCACAGAATTTTTTTTAATATAAAAAAAATTATATAAAAATAAAATATCAAACTGTATGACTATAAGTAACTTCAACTTTTTGAGGTGGGTTAAAATATATCCCACCATGCATAAAACGTTAAGCAAAAGGTGGGACAGTTTTTAACCCACCTAACCCTAAAGAGTTAATAGACTAGTATAAAATAATAATCAGGTATGATTGAAAGATGCATATTTTAAACATAAAGTTTATTTTATTTATATCGTGTCAGAATTTAACGTTTTCCTCCAACACGTGGTGCAGATTTTTGTGTTACTTTCGCAGCTTTATGTTTTGGTGCAGGCTTAGCCTTAGGAGCAACAACTGCTTTCTTTGTTGCTTTTGCTGCTTTCTTCTGTTCCTTGGCAGCTCTAAAATCAGAGATCGAAGCAAATTAAGTAACTGAAGAACTTAGAGGTCACAGAATATGATGTTATAGAATTTGTATGAACCCGCAAAAGCCAGACAGTGTGAACATTAACTAACAATTCTGGGTGAAGCAGTCCAATTGATCTAAGACATACTGAAATCTAACGTGTTGTGAGATATCACGTCAAAGGAACAGATGTCTATAATATTAATATTTCTGAACAATTAAAAACTATAATAATAAATATATGTACATAGTTGTTATGAAAACAAACTGTACTTACTTAATTGCCTGATCTCTTTGTGCTTTACGAATTTCTGGTTTCATATTACGTTTAGCTAAGATATCTGTAAGAGATGCACCAACAATGGCACGCTGAAATTTCTGAGTACGCCTTGTTCTCTTCTTTGCTTGCTCTTCCTCCTGACCTTTCTTGTGCTTCCGCCTACAACATTGCATTGTTTTAAGATCTGTTCTTTAATTTCAGAGATTTCTCAGAACAAAAATAGTAATACCTGTATAGTACAGTCCATGTAACTTTCCTAGGATTACGCCTCATTAAATGTGCGGACTCACATTTTGAGTTCAAGAAAGTGAATGTCTGAAAGCATCATAGAGGTTAAAATTGACACATGAATACAAACTAAACAAAATATTAATTTTATTGAGTATTAAACACTTATGGTGATAAGTATTCAGACTTACTGCAATAAATATATATGAATTAAATTTCACTTACTTTTCCATCCACTTTAACCATGGTTTTACCATGACCAGGATATATTTTATATCCACTATACGCGCAAAGACCGATCCTGGAAAGATGGACAACATGTTCATTAACAATATTTGGATGATGCGATTATTTATGCACATTGAAAACATTTTTAAAGATTGCACTACATTTCATGGATATTTAATATGCTAAAAATCTTCACTTACTTCATCTTGAATTATCACGAAAAGAAGGATGCGACAAAAATGGCCGATCCCCTCCACTTCAACGCGTTCAAAACGTAACTGTTACCAACATTACGGAACCAATATTTTCGTAATTTACAAATAAAACGTAATTATTTCAAAGTTGAGGAACGAAAACAGATTAATAAATGCAATAAAATGTAGGTACATGGATTTATTTAGAACATTTCAACAAGCTGATGGAGTGCATGGAACTCTCAAATGTTCCTAAGATATCTTATTGACCAGTAGTTAGGACATATTCCTGTAGACGACGTAACTGATGTTTTCAGAATTCCTTTATTATAGTTAAGTACTCTGTGTCACTTGTGTATTGTAATATGATTGTAATATATGCATTATTTGACGATGTTTGACAATACACGTGCGTGATGTGTGCCAAATGAAATGATACTTGTTATAAAACTGAAAAACCTGTAACTCTGAAAATCGAATAATATTTTCAACATTATCCAACACTTAAACTGTAAATATATTGTGATTTACTTGTGAAACCTGTCAACGAAAGCACGTGCAAGGTGATTCACACTTAAGGTTATTTCTGTAGTATTTGTAGTCATTAAAATATACTTTGATATATTTATATAGCTTTAGGATGAAAGACACAGATATTATAGGGTTCGCCAACCCCAATCTAGCGAACGAAAATGATGAAGAGGATGAAATCACAAAAATTAAGAAGAAAGTATGTAAAAAGTCGGGAGGATTTCAGTCCATGGCCCTTAGTTTTCCAGTGTTAAAAGGAATATTGAAACGTGGATATAAAATACCAACACCTATCCAACGAAAGGTAAATTGTATGAATTTTATGAAAAACATTATGAAATGATTAATTCCTTGATGACAAGTGGAATGTAATAGAAACTTTACTGTTTATCTAAAACTTTACTATTTCAAATAGAGTATGATGTAATCACATTAAAGAATAAATGTATGTAAAAGTTAAGTCCTATATATATTAGATTGATAGATGATCATTAAGGGATTAATGCTTATGTCCATCTATAAAGTTTGATGAAATTGTGTTTTATAGACTATTCCTTTGGCTTTGGAAGGTCGTGATGTAGTAGCTATGGCAAGAACAGGTAGTGGAAAGACTGCTTGCTTCTTAATTCCTTTGTTTGAAAAATTAAAAGCAAGACAAGCAAAAGCTGGTGCAAGAGCTTTAATCTTATCACCTACTCGTGAGCTAGCATTACAAACATTAAAATTCATAAAGGAAATAGGAAAATTCACTGGCTTAAAAGCATCTGTTATTTTGGGAGGTGATAGTATGGAAAATCAGTTTACTGCAATTCATGGAAGTCCTGATATATTGGTTGCAACACCAGGAAGATTTCTACACATATGTATCGAGATGGATTTGCAGTTGAATAGCATTGAATACGTTGTTTTTGATGAAGCTGATAGGTGAGAATAAAGTGTAATAATGTCTTTACTCTAATAAGTTACACAAATTGTATTTTATAAATTGTTTTATAGGTTATTTGAGATGGGTTTTGGAGAACAAATTAATGAAATTACAAACAGATTACCAGAGTCCAGGCAAACATTACTATTTTCTGCAACACTACCTAAAGTTCTGGTTGATTTTGCAAAGGCAGGATTAAGTGATCCTGTTTTATTGCGTTTAGATGTAGAAAGCAAAATACCTGAACAATTAGCACTTTCATTTATAGTATGCCGGCCAGAAGAAAAACTAGCTGTACTATTATGTTTATTAAAGAGCGTTATTAAAAGTGATTCCCAAATAGTAATATTTGCTGCAACACAGCATCATGTAGAATATATTCATCAGGTATTTAAAAAAAATATATGACTATACCTTCATACAGCATATACATTATGTATATTTTATTACTTAGGTGTTAGATAAGGCAGGAATTTCTAACACATTCATTTATTCAAACTTGGACCCATCGGCTAGAAAAATTAATGCAGCCAAATTTCAAAATAACAAAGTTAGGGCACTCGTAGTAACAGATGTTGCTGCTCGAGGTTTAGATATTCCACATTTGGATAATGTGATAAATTTCAATTTTCCTGCCAAATCAAAACTTTTTGTACATAGAGTAGGTAAGCGATTATTTTCTTTAGCATTTTGTAAAGTTATGATTATATATAATCGGTTTTGATAACAGGTCGTTGTGCAAGAGCTGGTCGATCTGGAACTGCATACAATATTATAAGCCCAGATGAACATGCTTACCTTGTTGATTTACATCTTTTCCTTGGTCGTCCCTTGTTCATTATTACACCCTCTGGATCTATGGAGAATACAGAGGGTGCTATAGGTAAAATGCCACAAGAAATGATAGAAGAAGAACTTGCTCAATTAATAAATTGGCAGAACAGTTCCACAGATTTAGTACGTGCATCTAAAACATCGTTAAAATAACATTTGAATTAAAAAAGAATCATGTATTTAATCCACACTCGATACGCGTGTTTTAATCGTAATATTTCGTAAAATTTATTTATAGCAAAATATGGAAACAGTTTGTGACAATGCATATAAACAGTATATTAGATCTCGACCGGCAGCATCTTCTGAAAGTATTAAGAGAGTGAAGGAATTGCATATTGGTGAAGCAGGTGTTATACCAGAATATTCTGATGTTTCTTCTAACACAAGAAATTTATTATCAAAGATGCTGAGTTATAGACCACAGGGAGTACGTACATGTATAAAATTTATATAAACCATTATATAATTAATTGTTAAGTATTAATATTTGTCTGTAATAGACAATATTCGAAATCGGAGCGAAAGCATCTTCAACTGACTATCAAGTGATGAAAACTAAACGATCGCTTCATAAGCAAAGTATTGTGAATTTTCATAGAAAAGCAGAGGAACTAGAAGCTAAAAAGAAATTAGGAGGTAAATACGATTACAAATAGGGAAATGTATATTTGATAAAAACTATGAGTTTAATAGTGGTATCTTTTGGTGGTCCCTTTTTATAGAACAGTCCAAAACGGTGAATCTCCCATCGAGTACAAATGACGAGATTAACTCAGCATTTAACACAGTTATTTTGCCAAAGAAAAGAAATGTTGACGACTTGTATAAACCTTCTAAAAAGAAAAAACGATCTACAACAAAGGATGAAGAGTTCTTTATTCCCTATGCTGCCCCAGATAGACACACAGAAGAAGGGTAAGATAAATAATTATTTTTTCTTGTAAATAAATAAACCACATGTATATGTGTGTGTTATAGATTAGCAGTCAACTCATTCAATACTGAAGCAGACAAAGTTCAGATGGATCTAACCGCAGATAATGAGGAATCGCAGCGTCTTCAGACACAAATTAAGAAGTGGGATAGGAAAAAGAAGAAAATGGTCACAATTAATAACGTATGCATTCTATATTTTTGACAAATTTTTCATATTGTCTATAAATTCTATAAATCTTTATCCTTTTTATTTCTCCTGAAGGACCGAAAGATCAACAAAATACGAACAGAATCAGGCGTTTGGATTCCGGCTAGTTATAAAACGAATCGTTATTCAGCCTGGAAAGAGAAAAGTAAAGTTGATGCCGCAAATGACGACGATAGCGACGAAGAAGAGCCTGCACAAATGCAAAAACGTATGTGACACAATAATGTTTGAAAAATTTCATAATATGTATAGACGCTACAACATTTTTCTGTACTTTCCAGTGCTAACGACCGCTAATACGCATTGGGCACGTCATAATAAAAAACTGAAGGAGAAGATTCAGTCAAACAAAGAACTGAAACGACCAGAGCAAATTCTAAAGGCACGCAAATTGCTGGAACGAAAGCGTAACAGAAACGGCAAAAAGAACCGCAAGGGTCAGAAGAACAGGGGGAAAAAACGATAAAATACAATTCTCTTTGTTATTGTATACTAACTGTTAATGTGTAATACATTTGGCAATATAAATAATAATTTTTCACTGTCGGCCTTTAATTATCCTTCAATCAATCGAATGTTTTACAAATCATAATCATTATGTAGTTTCGTAAAAACTATTACATATTCAACAAAATATTACTTAAACGTAACTTATTAATATTAACACAATGCTACTTTAAATGTTTTTCAGAAATAATGTTTCTTAAAACCGAAGGATATTTTAAACTCTCGTTTGTTACGTGGATATGTTTAAACAATACTATGAAGAAAAAAACGAGTATATGCAAGCAAGTAAAGTTACATTATGTTTTTTGGGGAACTGTAATTTTAAAACGTGACAATCGACAGAAATTGAAAATATCAGGATGAATCCCCGCTTGCGGTTCGATTACAGGGTATTATACAATTTCAGAAGATTTCCGTTGCATCATTGCGAATACTTTGCGTAATTACTGGGTTCCAAGTTAGAAACTTATTACGAGAAGTTGGTCGTTGATTTTCAACGAAATGATCGAGAAGCCTCGGAAAGTTTCGCGGCGGAGTCGAAACGAACGCGAGGCTTTCAGGCGCCGCGCGTTATCTTTACGAAGAACATTAAAACATCGTGTAAATATTTGAAAACGTATTGGTCTCCTTTTCTCGAGTATACACCACATTCCTGATTATACAACGTTAAAGTTCATTTAACGTTTACATTGATTATTCTCAGTCTTCGATTGTTCCGTTATTGTGTTTCCGGTACCGAAAAACTGAATTGAATTGTCCAGAACGAAATGTACCGATATATCATTAAGTTATCGCCATTCAAATCCCCTCGTGTCGAGATTTATTAATACTTTTCCAAATAACCTGGCATCTGGTATTTCTACAGTGTGACACGAATCATTCGTTCCTTTTTTTTCACTTTTTAAAAATAGTGTGGATAGATTCCCATTTGTTTTCCAAATATCCTTTCGTGCGTCAATTGCCAGAGAGCTGCAGAAACGGCCCCCTTTGGGGGAAGCATTTAGTCGTGACGGTATGTCACAAATTCGGGGAATATTATTCGATTGAATATCGATAATTACAGCTGTGCGCGGGCCTTACGTAACGATTATCGTGTGCTGTTTGGTAACGAATTTTGTTTTGCGAACCTGGCTGTTTATCGAGTCGCACGGTTCGCGATTTTAGGAAAGGAAGTAAAAGGAGAGAAAGGAAACACATCGTGACTCTGTGTACGTGTGAGTCACTAATGACAACTGGTTTGAAGTCAGTTTTGGTAGTATGCAGAACACTGATATCAGAACGTATGAATCACAAGTGGTCATCGTTTATTTATATACATAATATCTGTATCACCGCCTATTACAACTTGAAACGTTATTGAGATCATTTTTATAATTATTCTTTCGAGGAAAGTATGCGTACCAAGAAGTGACCGCTGTTGTCGTCGAATCCTGCACCAATTTCCAAATCACTTTGATCAAAAGTTTGTACAAAGCTGTAAGAAGAGACGGGACGCGCCCAAGTCCATTTGGTTCACGAAGTATTCTGGGTGGGGCACATTTTTCAACGTGCTTTCCGTGTAATCAAATGTATACTCGGGCTTGTTCCTTTTCCGACACGAGACCCGTCAATATTCGACCGAACAGGTTTTCGGTCATCGAATTTCGTCATCTCTACTGAACACCGTACTGCGCCGGAAGTATCCTTTATAATCGTTTCGTTTAGGCCCAAGAAGATGTTGAGCATTCAATAAATCGTGTGCACGCGAAACCAAGAATTGACCCGCAATTATTTGCTGCAATATTGATCGATGCAAATTATGCAGATGGTTCAACTGTTGAAAGCCTGGGGCAAGGTCGCAGCAGTCATTCGCACGTATAATTCAGAGACCTATATGTCATCCCGAAATTGTCAATCTAACTGTGCGCAATTTCGTTGAAACAAGTCCAGTTCAGAATTGTCTGAAGTATCTGAATTATCTCAATACGGTGTATTTTTTTTTTTAATAAAAAGACCGTAACAACAGTTTCCTGAACAAATTCGTGTAGCGTTAAATAATTAGATTGAACAAATTGCGCATGCGATACAAATTTTAAATTTGTTAAAATCGAAGTAATAATACCCATTTTCGTGTTTGGTTTCCTGTAAATATTTCTTTGCATTTATGGTTCTATTCGATATCAATACAGCGGCAGTAAGATTCACGGATGAATGAAATTTTAAATATACGTTGTGTTAAGACTCAATTGTTGAACAATTATGAAATATACATCACCGTATACTGTGTGCTATTTAGAGGAGGAATTACAGTGGATAATAATACATGTATAAGATAATTGAATGGATATTATGTAGGACCTAAAATGTGTCGTAGGTCATAGCCACTCACTACTCCATCCATTGTACCTAATAGATAATGTGGGCAGGCTTAATAGCGAAGGGGATAGTAAACGAAAACGACCTTTACCTACAAAAAATATCCTAGATTATTTCCATTCTAACCAGTGATTGGAAGTCTTTCGAAATTCAATTGTTTGGAAAATGCGGTAAGGGTTCGAGGTCGAAGTCGAGGACAGAGATGACTTGTCCACGCCTTACTTTACGAGATTCGCACATATTCAGAATACACGACTTAATTAACTGTATTGTTCTGTCCGACAGTTTCTTCTACGATCACTATCCTTGTGGTTAGATATTAATCAGTTATAAGCACTGAAATGAAAAGGAAAATGAATTAATTATACTTAGAAACAATGAAAGAACAAACAACATGGTTAAACTTGTTCTACTAAAGTAGTAAGAACGGGCACAGAAGGGTTTTTGTTTCTAATCAAAACACTTTTTAATGAAAAACGAAAAACGTAAGCATCTAAAGATCCTATTTTTGCGTTAAAAGGCTGCCACTTTATCCACAATCAATTTTTTGAAAACCCTGCTAAATAAAGCCATATATATTAACTGAATCTTTTTGAATTTTTAATGTCAGATGATCCAGCACCGTGAACTCATGCTCGCCGCAAAACGTCTTTAAAAAGACAGCTTCCAGAAGAGTGGCTGTTAGCTCATTCATGTTTAAATATTTTGATACCGAAAAAGCTACAATAAGTTGCACAATATATGCATTTTTCAATAAAAATTAGTTGTAAAACAAGTCCATTAATTTAAAAAAAAAATTTCCAAAGATCACATTTTTTTCGCTTGCTGACTAGGCATTACCTCTTGAATACATTCTCGAAGCCCTGCGTGCGCGCGATGTTACCGCTCATATTAGTCGAGACGTCTCATTAAAAAGGAAACAACGAATCCGCGCAGGAACAATGAATTTTCGCCATTAGCTTCTCGATCAGAGATCCGTGCCAAGGCAGCTGCAACCGCTGCTCGGCCACGATCCCAATGACACCGACCGTGGAAATAAGTCTATTCGTAACCAGACGGTCACGTCTACGATCCACCGTTCACCATCCACGCCGTTGCTGACTGTCTCTCGCCCCCACGTCATACGGTTAAAAATACGTGGTGGTACCACTCAACCCGGACAAACCGTACACACGCAAAACGATGATGCTGTGGTTTTCTGTGAAAGTGGCGTCACGTCTTCGTCCCGTTGCACGGGAAGGGCGGGGAGGGATGGGGGGAACAAAAAAACGGTTCCGCATGTAGTTTGTATCCGTTGACGGATGACGGGCATGTCCGAAGGTCTGCACTCACGGTAAAAAGTGTCAACAGCCCCATTCAAACGTTAATCCCTCGTGATATTGCGCGTTTTCGATAGATCCGACTAAAGTTAAAAAACAAAAGAATTTTTCAATTTTTACTCGGAAGAATACTTGCTCCGTAGAACGTCAACAGTCTCTAGTGAGCGCAGATTATTCATTTTTTTAGGAATGAACAGTGAACCGGAAATCGTAGTACAACCGGGCAGGGGATGATTCTACGCTAAAAACAAAGAAAATATTTTGGTATAACATTTTCTCATCCGGGACTCTGTTTTCGAGAAAATCGACTTTAAAATTTGTTCAACTTGTAAACGATTTAGTATAAGTTGTTTGTCGTGTATTAGTAGTAAAAAAGAATAAAAAATAAGTAATCAGTAGAAACATTTTGAAAAGTTGAACAAACTTTTAAGTTGATTTTATACCAAAATATTTTCTTCTTTTTTAACGTAGAATCGACCCCTGCCCGGTTGTACTACGATTTCCGGCCCACCCTGTATATAAGTACGAAAGAATGTGTTTTTTTGAGCGACAATGTACATACTCAGGCAGGCCGGAACACATGTTCTCCGAACATGTCCCAACCCTAACGAAGTCTTCCTAACGATCACGCGTCGCCGATTAGGGATCTAGGCTCCGAAACACGTTGCAAATACTGGAACATCTCAATAATTGATAAGCGGTGAAAGTTTCCCCACGATGAAAAGTCTACCAGCCGCATAATTAAATTCAGATATTCGTAATCGTGTGTGTTTCTAGCAAACAATTCGAGGCGATTGCTCGCCGCGCTAGTGTGCAATTTATTGTAACGGATTGGTGGCTAGGTAGCAAGAGATTCGCTTGCGATACACGATACATGCGTATTGCATAACCAACCTGATTTCGACAGTTCGAAATTTTGTACGGGAGGGGAATCGGAAAAAAAAGGTTACCCGAGTGAATGTTCGAGTCTGTAAATTAAGCAATCGATTTCATACGCTCCAACGTATTAAAGGGGTCCACTCGCTTAACCGCACCGAAAAATGGGACGATTCTCGGAATCTTCTTTCCGAGAATCTATAAGCTCAGGCGCAGCATGTCTTCTTTTGTTATTAAGGGGATCTCTAACCTTTCTCAGTTAGAAAACTGATACATTGCAGTATCTGTATCCTGTTACACCCTAAATAAGAGTCCGTTCGAAGCATACGGTCAAAGTCGAATTTCTTGAAACTTTTGCTTTTGACGACAGTCTTAAAATGCAGATTTTTAATCGGACTTTAGGTGGATA